AGTACTCCCAGCTGGTTTTCAATGGTTCTCTAACTGATATCAATCCGTGGTCAAACTCGTAAAAACAAACACAGGATAAACCAAAAATGCCAGGAAACTTCTCGGGGCCTGGTACGCAAATGAATCAGCAACAAAATATACCAACTAACAAAAAAATAAATCATATTAAAAGAAGGTTCAAATTCCGAGTCACTAAAAATGATCAGCAGAGATGTAAATTAACAATCATTCACGACAAAGTAGGTTCTCAGGAGATAGAATTATATTATTCATGGAGGATTCAAACAAGCCCTCTTCATATTAAAACCTTCGCTGAAGATGTTGTCTATAAAGACATTTGTGGTGAGAGCAAGCTGCTAGCCAATTGGTAGACATTGATCTACGCTGATTGGTAGAAATTAATCTAGGCTGATTCAACAACCGATCACAGCTGACCTAGACGTGGACAAATATGATTCGCAGACAAGTGGCTCGCATTTCCGAGAAATATCGAAAACGAGAAAGCAGAAGACTGCGTTTGTTTGCAAACAACCAATCAGAAGACCGCCTTCTTTCTGCGGGCAGAAGCCTATTAATGTACGTAAAATACATATAAATACCTGTTGGTTTTCGTAATAAAACTGATCTGTTGCCTGGCCCTTGTCTTCTGTTGTTACACATTGAAAGCACTACAGTTAAATCAGCCAACTCACTCAATAAACACAACTAAATCAAAATACAGATATTTACTTAAAAATAAAGTGTAAATTCTTTTACGTGAGATTATGAACATCATTCAACTGTATCGTTTCACAGTCGAGAATTTCGAAAAATTAGATTACCTTGATAAAACTGTCATATCTCAATAAAACAAACGAAAGAAAGACGAGTTTTTTTACATTAGCCTGTCACTGAATATGTCAAAGTTATGCCTGAATCTTTTAGAATGTATCGTAAAGCACATAACTGAAAGATGTATCCATTGTTCAACGAATAATGGAAGTGTTTTTTTATTATTCAATACATTTTATAATAGTAATACGAATTTTAATATATTTCATTCCTAAAAATAAGTGTAATTCAGTGGAGATTATTCAGTAATTTAAATTTATGCTAAGTCCTGGAATTTACATCTCCAGGTGTTAAAATCTCAGCTTGATGAATGAAAATCTTTTCAATTTGATCTTCCACAGGCTTTCCTCCTGTCACTCTACTAACCCTGACCATGATTTTAAGATCATCTATAGAATCCGTGCTAACCCGCTGAGTTTTCTTCGTGGTCAAATTCTTAAGAAAGTGGAGGCCTTGGCGCTTCATGACTTTAAGCCAGATCTTTGTGTAACAAAGACGTATGTACAATCCCCACTTCTGCCTTGGTCTTAGAGAGGAAAATTTTTATTTATTCTATTTGTCTTATTTAGTTAATGTATGTACCTTCTCCTCATTACTGCGATTATTATTATTTTTAATTTCGGCTGATTTCACTTGTTCCGCTTGTCATTCTAAATCCAAATTGGTTTACGGCATTCAATTCTATCTTATCAAATATCACACATGTTGTGTATTGTTTTATATTAGCCCATTAACCTGCTAATTATACAATCCCTTCCAACATTTATATGTCCTATGAATGATTCTGTTTATGACATCATTTGTTTTGCCACTTGACACGGGAGATATTTTCTTAATAATAAAACATCATATATATATACATGCACGATTGTACAGCCTGATAGTACATTCGTTGAAAAAAGTCTCTTCGCTGATTTTCATGTTCTTAACATATATATATATGTATTATAGTTTCCAGGTTTGACCGCGGATTGATGTCATTTAGGGAACCGTTGAAAAAGCAGAGTACTGAATTGTTGTTTCGTTCTCCTTTTGAACTCTTACGTAGCACTATCCAGTGGCCTCACTGGTTGTAGTTGTCCCAAAGTTCAAGAATTGGTAGAAGTCAAAAATCACCGGCCATCGGATCCCATCCCAGTGACTGAATAGTCGATGAGCAGGCTCCGTAAACTGAAGGTCTACGAGTTCGATGCTCACTGCGATTATTAATGCGTACTGCTGAAGAATCCCAAACTAGGAAGAAGCACCCGCCTCAATATTCCCTGGTTTTCAATATTTCTCCAACCGATATCAATCCGTGATCAAAGATGAAACTAATCAAACCCCAACAACCTAATTCTGGAATATATATATACATGTATATATATATATATATATATATACATAGAATATCGAAGATAGTTTGATGATGTACACATTACATTAATATAATTAGGTTAAAACTACACAGAATCGAAAGTTACATGATACTAAATATGTATTGAATAAATAATAAATAAAAATGATAAATATAAGAAAGGGGTAAAAAGTTATAGTTGCGTCATTGGATTCATCTAGACCAAGGGAGAGACAACGGTGGAGACATGGGTGTGTCACTGGTTGACTTGAGGAATATTTGCCAGCCACTCACGAGGCCCATGGTGCGATCCCCTTTACCTCGGTTAAGAGAGGTAACCCTATACCGTAAAAACAAACACCACAGCTCCTTAGATTTCAGAGTTCAAGTCCTAAGTTCAACTGGGAACACAAAAGAATAAAAAATGTAGAACCGATTATTTTTCCGCGAAAAGACTAGGATTACTCTCCTGCAATCTCACTGCTTCTGTCCTATAAAAGATGAGTTCGAATTCTGATCAAAAGACTCGATGAAACACGATAAAGGATCATGTTAGCACTTTTTCTAGCTAGCGGGCGACCAAGATCAACTAAATGAGACGAATTAGAGTTTACCGGTTTCTTCTTACTTCTTTCAGAACCATCAAGGAAGGTACTCAGCAAAGAGTTTGTTGAGTTGGCCAGCTGTTTACCGTACATAACTTGCTCCACAGGAGCATCTTAATTTGTAGACGAACATAAAAGTAACACAGTTGGATAGCTTATCTTGGCTGGAAAATCGTGCACAAACGTATGCTCCTGACAGTCTGTAGTGTAAAACTACACCAGACACGTCTCGATTTAATTGGAACTTAGTAGTCGATTCTTTCTTATTAGACCTGATTGCTCCCGTTTTTTGTGTATACTGTTTGTGTGTCTTTTAATGGATATATTATGATAACCCACTTATATCAGCACACTATTCATCTTAATTCGTTTTCCAAGGGATCACTGATACAGACTAATCTTGATGTATTCATCGGCGTCTGGCCAAACGTATTTTGTAGAAGTATGATATGATACTTAATCTGAGTACATACTGTCCTACTGACGTATTCCTTTCATAATCACCTCTATTCTTCCTATGCAAATCAAGAAGCCGTAATTAGTCATCATGTTCTTAACAGATGAGTATAAGTGGTGGAAGAACTCCATCAACGTTCCATCGACATTTCGTTCTGATTTGCTTTCTCAATAGGTAAAATAAATGCATCATCAATACAGTCATATTACTTGTTTTACTGTAATCACACAGAAATGTCTGTGCATCATACTCCATTTATTCTTTATGTGCGTTATGAAAGAAATAATACCTGAGTGAACACTTATTTTGCAAGAGTTTGGTTGTAGGGAGTTAACTGGTTTAAAAGATGGACACACACAAAAAACTTGAAAGATCTCGACTTCACCGATGATATATGTCTGATTTCCCACAATCTGGAATATATGCAAATGAAAAGCAACAAGTTGGCAGAAGAAGCGACAAAGATAGGACATCCTTCAGGTGAACATAGAGAAAACAGAGGTGATGAAGATTCTTGGCCAACAGCAAGAGCAACGACAACAGACAACTATCAGCATAAATGGAAGGAACCTGAAAGAAACTACCTCCTTCACCTACCTTGTAAGCATCGTTTCAACTACAGGCCGACGGAACTGACGAGGATATCAAAGCGAGGATCGGGAAATCAAGGCAGTGTTTCATCTCTCTCAAGTCTGTGTGAAGGTCAACAGCACTCAGCATCAAAAATAACTTCCGGATTTTCAACTCCAATGTGAAGTCAGTGCTACTATACGGATCAGAGACTTGGCCAGCGCGTCATAAAGAGCACCTCAAACAAACTACAGACCTTCATTAACAGTTGTCTTCGCTCAATACTCAAGATCAGATGGCCGGCCAGAAAAGATCAGCAACAGATATCTCTGGGAGTGAATCAACCCAGCGCGAACCGATTGTGCAACAAATAAGCAGAAAGAAATGGAGATGGACTGGCCATACTCTGAGGAAACCATCAAGTGACATCACTAGACAAGACATTGCTCGAGTGGAACCCGAAAGGGAAGCGGCGAGTTGGTCGTCAGTGCAAGGGTGATTTTGAGGAGGTCACGTAAAGAGGAGATGAAAACGTGTGGGCAAACTTGGAGCCAGGTGAAAACTCTAGCAGAGAACGGGACGCAATGGAGACGCGCGGCTGAAGCCCTATATTCCTCTAGGAATTAAAAAAAATAATAATAAATTCCATCACGAGTTGGAAACCAGGCTGTACTAGACATCTTTTTCGTCCTAGTTTAGGACTTTCAACAATTCTCACCCACTGTGGGTAAAATTTGTTTTGATAAAGGTGATATAATATGACCATGAGCAATCAACTGTGCTCAAAACGTCATCAGTAAACATTACTGTATAACACTGTGAGACTTTATCGAAACAAATTTTACCTATAACAGAATTATACTCTACCACAGTGCACAAGTTTTATTCTTATATCAGTTCTCACCCACCAAAACACCAAGAATGAAACCCAGAATCTTCAAGTTATGAGGTCGAGCTGGATGACCATTCAGCCATCTGCGTCAGAATTCAGTGACTGGCCAATTCTAACCTTATCGATTCGCGATTTTAGCGCGATAACCAGTCAGTGTCATCGATGAGCAGTTTTCCTAACACACGACCCGTTGAGCCCCACTCGTTACGAATTCTGTTGAATTCATGAACTAGTTAACTGCAGATAGTATCATTCTCCACGAAATCGGAAATCAGAAGTCATCTGTGTTTCAACAAATCAACTGATATACTCTAGAACTTTATACACTAAATTTTTTTCATCTTTGGAGAAGAAAAAGAAGAAGAGGGAGAATAAAGAGAAGAAGGAATTAACGTCACAGTTTTTGTTTGAACAGCTTTCAGAAATGCAAAGAAATGCATGGTTAACTTTTATTTCAATTAAAAAAAAGAGGGAATACATCTGATTTGTGCGAAAATGCATGTGTGAACAGCTTGATTGTTTGTTCGATAGGAAGACGTGGGTTTCTTTGGCTGTAATGTCTATCAATGAAGGAGTAAAGAAGGCAGTGGGAAAGGAGGAATGTAAACCTCAACAGGGAAGGGGATTTACGACTGACATTGACTAGGACGTCTTCATTCTTTACCCTCTAGATACAGAAGACAATTTTTAGGGAGAGACAGAGAGAGAATGGGTCATGCGTAAACATTACATTTTGGTTTAGAAAAAGAAATGTACTTTCCATTCATAGCTTCAATCTTCTGCTCATTTGTACTATGATTATTGGCGTAATATAGAAGTTTCTCTTGACCAGAATTCATACTATTCACTGAACATTTACCGGTATCATTTCTTAGACTGCTGATTGTATCTTTGAATTCCCTCATTGAAATATCATTTTTACATTCCCGATTATTATTAGCATTATTATTATTATACAATGGATTCTCTTCACTTGTAGTATTTACTGTATTCATATTAAAATAGGTATTTGATGAAGAAAAAGAAGTGTACATCTTGTAAGAGGAGTTTCTTGAGATTTGTGATGCATTATTGTTATTATTATTATTAACACTAGGTGTAAGTAAAGCATTATCGACTGATTTAGGCAAAAGACAATAGGCAATAGCATCATCATCATCATCCCCACCATTATCAGCATCATTCCACGATAAAGTTAATGAAGAAGAATTCACCGTCTTCAATTTATTTACATTCATATAGTCTACTTTTCTACTATTTGTTTGTAGATACTTATCAATAGATACGCTGATTTGTTCACAGATCGCACTGAATTTCGGCCTGTACTCTGGATTATTATCCCAGCAGGATGTCATTATTTGATAGATATCATCGGGGCAGGCTTTTGGTGCAGGTAGACGATAACCTTTTTCTACCATTGCAATAACAGCTTGATTTGTCCAATTCCAATAGGGTCTTTCACCGAGACTGAATAACTCCCAGGCTACAATACCAAATGACCAGATATCACTGGAAATGGTAAATTTTCTGTACATTATAGCCTCAGGTGCTGTCCAGCGGATAGGAACTTTTCCACCCTGAAAATTGAGAAAATAAAATATTTATGATATTTAGCACTGCAATGTTTTTGTGAATTGAATATTATTCATATAAATTATTATCATTATTGTTCCCTTGGGTTCCTAGTGGAACACAGGGCTTCCACTGCACGCCTCCACTTGCTTCTGTCTTGTGCTGTACTTTTCACTTGCATCCATGTTGATCCATACTGTTTCAGTTCCTGTTCACACGATCTCCTCCATGTCACCCTTGGACGTCCCACTCACCGCTTCCCTTTCGGGTTCCACTCGAGAGCCTGACGCGCGATGTCACCGAACGGCCTCCTCAGCGAGTGTCCAACCCATCTCCACTTTCTCCTGCATATTTGTTGGGCGATTGGTTCCTGTTTCGTTTGTTCCCATAACTTCTTGTTTGTGATTCTTTCCGGCCATCTAATCTTCAGTATGGAACGAAGACAGTTGTTGATAAAGGTCTGCAACCTGTTGAATGCCACACCAAAATATTCTACAGAAGATGTATTTTCCTTAATATACACTCTTGGTTTTGTAGAAAATTACATTACGAATGAGAGATGCAGTATATTGTATTGAAACCAAACGTTAGGGACATTTCTTACACTGAATTTTTCAAATGTAACTAACTGCATTTATTAGACATGAAACCTTCAATGTGGTGAGTTCAAAAGCATTACAGATTCTACCGGTGTAGTCTGTATAGCTCCAGACAATCTTCTAAGATCGAAAATAATTTCAAACGGTTGCTGCTTTGATCATCGTTACATATGTACTATGACTATAAGCCCAGGGGTGATAATTCAACTGTCTTAACCTTTGCTGGCTAAGATTGTTTTGTTAAAGTTTGTTAAAATGAAGTTTTCAAGTATTGGTTCTGTAGGGATTTTGTCTGATTGCATGGAGGATTTCATCATGAACTGACATCAGCTAGAGAACAACTGGAAAACGTGGGAGTACTAGGACGGAACAGCTGTCCAGTACTCCAAGGTTTTCAAGTTGTTCTCTAGCTGATGTCAGCTCATGATGAAATCCTCCATGCAATCAAAATGGAGTTTAGCAATAAAACAGATTGTTTCGCTGTTTATTGGCCTTAGACAGAGTGTTGTCTATGCAAGGCAGTACAGGAACATTATTGCTGTGACAGAAGTCACATGCATATAAATATTTTTGGTGACAGTGTTTTTGCCCATGAAGGTCACTGTTACGACGTAGTTTTAGTGTGAACCAATTCAAACTGTTTAAATGAGCAAAGGTTTTGCTATTCATAGTAAATTGTGTGAATAGTGTTAGAGAAAATAGTTGGCAGCCAACTGTTAAATCGGGAGCGATTTCATAGTACTCCTGATTTATTGGTTTGATACCCGTACTAATCACTGATTACTCTTGACCTCTGTAGCTACGAAAATGAAGGTAGAAGACAGACCGGTTTGTGCCAGAGAGAAAAATTGGGTTTCATTACACAAAGGTACATGTTATACAAATGTCATTTACCTCAGAAAGTCATGGCAGATGCGTAAAGTAAGGTTTCTAGGTTCTCCCATCGCACTGTAATAGATATCATGCCTTCACCCAATGGTTTAATGCTGTCTTAGCCTGTTTTACCCAGTATGGGTGAAATGGGATAATTGTTTGCAAAATCCGCTTTTTCTCCCAGACTGTATAGCATTGTCGTGACATTTTCATATCACTTATTGGCCTAATCGTGATTACTTGTCTTTGTCCCTGTTTAACCTATAATTTTAATGCTTCTCTTCATGGCGGTTTTGTGATGGTATTAATAATGTGTTGTCCTACGGTGTGGACCTGTTTGAGTGAATGGAAATCATTCTGTCCCTGGACTGTCTCGAGGAAACGTCTGTTTGTAATTCTTTTGAACAGAGATTTTGATCCCACATTGATGGGAGTATTCTACTTGATTCTCAGATACTTTATACTGTTGATTTCAGTTAAATAATTCTGTTGTACAGTACTTTTCCTGTAGCTGGGATCTAATTCGATCTGTGTAGCTGCCTGACGGCACTGCTAACGCAATTTCGCATTTTGATATATTATAGCCGCTAAACAGCACTGCAGATTTTATTGCAAATAACTGACTTTTTACTACCGTCAAGACATTTTTGCACTGCGCTTGATTGAAGGACGTTTTGACTAGCTATACGGTAGAATGTGTAGGTTGATCTCCTACGTTCAGATCGTAACAGGCGGGTTCTGACAGCTACACTGGGCCTGTTCAGGATGGTTTTAGAAGCTTCCTATCGTGAAGAAACTCTTTCTAAGAACATTATTTCATTGTCTGGAAAAAACTGAACGGATTAAGAAATGACCTAGTTTCACTTATGAAAACTGGGTTAATTTTCTTGATAAATTAATCTGTAGAACACATTTTTCTGAAATGCTTTGACTGATAATCTTCAGGGTGGAATTATCACTTGTTGTTGTCGGTTAAACAGGAGTGAGTTATTCCAGCATTTGTTTGCAGGATTACATTTGACGATTTCTTTAAAATGAACTTTAGTTATACGCGAAATTTAATTATTAAATAGTAATACCATTGCTCATTTACAAACTTTGGCTACGAGTAAAACTTCATACTTGAGTAAAATAATAATTCTATTCAGTGTTTAACTGTACACCAGTGAACATTTATACACTGAAGGTGATCACTGGACAGGTTACCGGAAGAAATAGCCACAATTATCGCCTGTTCGTCAATATAAATGAGCAGACACTGTCTTCGAAAAGAAAATAATAAATGCGAAGATTTATTTCTTTGTTGTTTGTTTGTTCGGCTTCCCTTTCCAAACATTTTGATTGAATGAAAGGTTGAAAGATTTTCTATCCCACTTCAAAGTTTTCATGTATATGTTTTGAAGATTGCTATTCCTGTATGATTTGAGAATAGCTTTTTTCATTTTGAGTTCTGCACGCTTTTGTAGTAGTAGAATTGTGAACTAACTTTCACTGTGTAGCAGTTCAGATAGGAATGAGTTGTACAAGTGAAATGCGAAGTTTTCAAGAGTTAGTTTGTCAGGATTTGATTGGTTTCAAGTGTGAACACGGATTGATATCATTTACAGAACCACTGAAAGCCAGAAGGTGGTACTGGAGAGCTTTTTCATACAGATTAGGGACTCATCATCAGTGACCACCCAGCCACCGGGGTTTGAACCCAGGACCTCCCGATTACAAGGCGAGCTCGACGACCACCCAGTCACTCGGGACTCGATTGAATGACCCGTGAATTCCAGCTTCTACCAATTTGCGATTTTATCACGACCAGCAACCATTGTCGATAGGGAGCATTTGCCTCCACTTTCAACCTTGTGGACGTCACCGGTCTTGGCTTATTGGCAGCCAGTGACTAGTCACATGATGAAGTTTCCTGGAGTTCTAGTGAAAAGTCATGATAAGTGTGGTACATCGGGTTGGGTGTTTGGACAAACACTCGTTGATAATACTGGCTGGCCCATTGGATAGGGTCCCTAGTTGTTGGTTGGTCTACGATCTTGACTTGTAATCGGAAAGTAGTTGGTTTTTGCGTCGACAGATGCGATCTGTCGTTGATTCCCAAACTCGGAAGAAAGGGCAGTCCACCACTCTCAGATTTTCAGTGGTTCTCTAACCGATATCAGTCCGTGGTCAAATTAGAATGCAAAGTTGTTGATATTTGAAACTTAAAACCATAAAATGATCATCAACTGTTTAAGAAAAGGTAGCTACAAGAGTTTAGAAATGATAACAAAATCAGCAAGACATGCGATATTTCAAATGAAATGAAATTTACGAAAAAGTTTCAGAAGTTTTTATGTACTCACTGTTCATCTCTAACTTACCGTAAATGTGTATGCATCCTCAGCAGTATCTGAACCAACTTTTCTAGTTAATCCGAAATCTGATACTTTACAGGTATTGAACTTGTCAACAAGTATATTTCTAGCAGCTAAATCCTGTTAAAGAAAAAAATAAAATGAAGGCAGAAACTGCTTCATTCATTGGTTGGCAGTTTTTCACCGAAAAACATAACAGTGAATAAATCTGATAGTCAGTAAGCCTTTTCGTTGATAATTTAAAACAGTTGTGAGAACAGGAGCAAAACAAGTAACGTATTTTGGTGGATTGTGACTAGCAGTGAAATCCAATGGAATCTCCAGTGAGTGATGTTGTTCCTGGAGTGGCTCGAATCCAGTACCCATCGTTTCAAACCCCAAAGCGTTATCCACTAGACCACTTAGGAGTCCAAAGTCAACTCTTATGCAGTGGGCATCAGGTGTTACTGGTTAATAGTCCCCGTCCACCGAATTACTTACCGTCTGTCCTCAGACATCCTCGAAGCGTCCTTACTAGGAGGCAACATGACAGGAGAGACCAAACATTTCGGTCCAGTCAGTCAACGACAAAATCAAAACAGAATTGAAAACAGAACTAATAATGCTTCATAGAGATAACTTAAATACCTGTCCCACTCACTGAAGAAAACCTTCTTCGCGGCTGAACTTTAACCAACTTTCTCTACGAAACCAATGATTGAAGTGAAAGTGGGAGATAAGCCACCACTATCGATGTCATCAATGTGCATCTATCAATCCACTTGCTTGTGTGCAGCTAAGTGAGTCCGCCGTTTCCACTGTTAGCTATCCGAATGCATCACAGAACATTTACCCTCATCGCTTTATGAAGGAGAAAAAGTAACTTCCATCAGCTCTATCCTGAAACAATCGATCAGATCTGGACAGCAAGCTTAGCCACAAAGGAACTGCAAAGTTTTCTAAAGAATGCACAAAATTCTTGCTAAGAGAGTACGAATTAAACTTCTTCAAACCACAGAAGCAATAGCATTTTAGATGTTAAATCCAGAACTCTGCATACAAAAGAAGTTTGTGCAGTCATTAAACCTACAATGGACTTCATTTTTCTTAACACCTGATACGTAATTTTTCTGTTTTTTTAAAATAATTGCATTATTTTCTTCCCTCACCTCCTATTAAATTTCTAACCCTTATTGCCACTGTTGTTAACTTCACTTTCGTTCAGTTTAAGTTCAATTCTACTCAACCCCTTCAATTATATTACATCACTCAATTTACTATTTTCGTTTTTGTCTCTACCCGGTTGACGCTTTCCACATCACGTGAATGGTTATCAAAACATTTGAAATACCAAACTATCCGCTGGTTTTAAAATATGGAGTACATGAGTAAAATTAGTCTTAGAGGATAAGTGACATTGTGGGTTGTGCTGTGTTAGTGTATTAGTGAGTTATTCCCTACTTAAAACTTAGTTACACTGTGCTTACAAGCCCTGTAATGAAATGAATTTCTAAAGAGCTTACCCATCATTTCCTTAATTCATAATAACTCGATCTTTCATGCATTAAATTAGCTATGATAATAATTTCACCTATACAGTTCACTCCTAATACCTTGTTAATGCTCGTTGAAGGAAACATTATAAACTATGGAAACACAGATTGCAATAGTTTTTGGATTGTCTACCATACGGAATTTACAGCTAACAACATCATGTTACAAGAAACATGACTCCGTTTATCTTTCAATAGTAATATTGGACACATTGTACTTGACGGAGACAGAAAAATAGACGCACTTAAACTTGTTTATCTAAAGCTAGTAGTAAAACTGAAGGAAAATATATATATAAACTATTTGGTTAAACAGTTGCCTAAATAAATCCTAATTAGAAGCAGATTGAAATATACTTTTGTAACAGCAGAATGCGAGACACAGAAGGCAAGATATATTTTCAGTTGACCAAACCACTATTTACATGTATATTTCTATACAGTTTATATTCTTTAACGAATAACTGAGCGTGTGATTTTGATTTACATTAAACGACACGAAATAGAATGTCCAAATACATCTATCATTCTTGAAAATCCCCGTTGAGTCATTTGAAAAAGAGAAGACGTTCAGCGAAGAGATTCTTTTCGGTGGTAGTAGTCTTTCTAAAAGTGTACGAATAAGACTTCTTCAAACTGCAGAAGCAATGGCGATTCACTTGCTAAGTCCTGAACTCTGCATACAGAAGAAGTTCGTTCAATCACTACACTTGCAATGGACGTAATCTATCTTATTAGCCGACAAGTAAATTCTACCTAATCTTTTCTTCTGTCTCTTCATTCGTATTATTTTGTCTCCTCAATTGTAATATTTCACATTTTCAACTTTCTTATTCTGTACCCACACCCAATTTAATTTCTACACCTCACTACCACTGTTACTGACTTGAACAACACTCGATTTCTAGTCATTTATGTTGCGTCATCCAACTTATTTGTTCAGTTTCACGTCTGCTTAATCTCTACCTGTAATTACCTATGTTGCTACCCTGACCTAAGTTGAAACATTTTAGTCAATTATATTACGTCATCTAACTTAAAAACCCAATCAAGTGTTGGTTTGTAGGGATTTGATTGGTTACAGGATTTTCATCATGAGCTGACATTAGTTAGAAAATCCATGTGCCTTTGGATCGGGTCCCAGTAGCTTAATGGTATACGAGCTCGCCTTGTAACCAGAAGGTCATGGGTTCGAGTCCCGGTGGGTGCGTACTAATGAAGAGTCCCAAACTAGGACGAAACAGCTGTCCAGTACTCCCAGGTTTTCCAATGGATCTCTAACTACTGTCAGCTCATGATGAAAATCCTGTAACCCAGTCTTACTTTAGTTACTGTCTGATTAACTTTGTTTCTATATTAAATCATTCTTGTATTACCTGATCAGTTATATACACTTGACAAACCTCATCTACACACACACACAAACAATTATATATAAATGCGATTGTACAGCTATTTGAATGAATCCATCATTCTGTTACTAACGCGCTATTGAACTGTGGGAATACTATTCAGACGTGAACACCAACAAATACAGTGATTCTTACTGTGAGAATAATATTCCGCTGGAACCCATTCTCTGTATCACACCACTACACTTCGATTACTCACACAAGGAATTAAGTAAATAGTGTCATACTGCTAGGCCTTTGCAGACTGAATTCTTCCAGTCATGTTTGCTATGTGGCCAACATATTGAGTGGATAATCATCACGGTACGCTCTGAATTGTAGCTATTAGATGGTTGGAGGCAATCGAAAGGAAGCCTTGTTCGACTTATGTTTTGCTTCTGTCGGCACTCACCAGTCATCACGGCGTATCTGCAGCATATCTTCAAGGAACTCATGTCCCCTCTCAGATTCGAACCAGTGTCATTCAGCGCTGCTGTCAGAGATATTACAACTGAGCCATTATGGTTCACGACTGCCCTCCTGTCGGACTGTATTGGATACTCTGATTGAATACTAGACAGTAACTCGTGTCATTCGTCTAGTCGTGTTGTTTGGTGCAGACTTAATTCTATCAGTGAAGACTGCAATGTGTTTAATAAGGTTTATAGGTTAATTCATAAGTTACCAATCAAGCGAATAAACTTACCCTGTGGACAAAGTTCAAATGAGCAAGATAATTCATACCAGATGCAATATCCCTTAGCATATATAAGAGTTGTTCAGTTGCCAGTTTACTTCCAGAGCACTATGAATTCAAAAACATTAAAAGAATATTTTGGATATTAGATGCTTAACCAAGCTCTACGGAACACACTTTAAATGGACATAAATTACATTCCTGTTAATGCTATAAAAAGTAGCGAATGTTACGCTTCTCAAACTTTTACATTCTAAAGCACTTTTCATGCATACCATTTAAATTTATTGCTACATAAAATATAGACTTGATAGACTACTGATAAGAAGCACTTTTAGTAGTATTTGAAGAAGTACTATAATTATTACTCCATTGGGTTCCGAGTAGAACACACAGCTTCGAAAGCATTTCTCCATTCTATCCTAGTTCTCTGCAGTCCTTTCAGATGGCTCCACGACTGCCGATGGGCTTTCATCTCCACATCACACGATCTCCTAGGCGTCACCCTTGTCGCTCTCCAGTCGGGTTTCACTCGAGGACTGGCCAGGCAGCGATGTTATACAACTGTCACCTCAGCATGTCTCCGATCGATTTCCATTTTCTTCCTTATGTTTGTTGAACAGTAGGTTCTTGATTGGTTTGTGCACTTCAAGCGTTTCTTGTTGCTAATTCTTTCTGGCTGACCATTTGGTCCTCAGTAGGCAACTAGTGAAGCCAGTTGTTGATGGAAGTCTGAGGCCGACAGCTGAAAATGCTTTCGGTGATGCGTTCACCAATTTTCTGACCCAAATAGAAGAACTTAGTGCTAAAACTACGAACCTTAATCATGATAATGGAGGCAGGTGATTTCCAAATTGATTTTAGAATGATGAATGTCCCCATTCGCCTTCAGTAGAACTCACAGATTTCATTTATATGTGGTTTACAGGGAATGCAAATCGAAACGATTCTATGTAAGTGATACTATAACATCATATGACTTCACAGTTTGCGAAATGAATGTTTTATGCAGCATGGATTTTTTTCTTTTGCAATTAATTTAAGCGGAAAACGATTATAACAGACCACCGACAACGAAAGTATTCTTTGTTCATTTAAATCCATATGGTTTTCATCATACTATTTATCACAAAAAGTAATATTACCACCTGTTCCTAAAATTTCCTATATACTTAAACTGAACAGATAGTTTAACGGAATAAAAGAAGCAGCTATTAGCACTAAAACGAAATGTATCAAATGTGTAATTAAGGATTGTTAACAAAGTAACATTTCTGTCTATACAGCTTTTAATGTCCACTTAATAGCAGCGTTTCACAAAATTTGTACTGTGGAAGTAGGAATAATCCCTAATTGAAAAGACAGAAATGCTTACATCACAATAATTAATAAAGGCACTATATATTATTAATAATAATAGCTTTATTCCGGAGTGTGCTTATATAATGTGCAGAATTTTCAACGAAGTTCATGGCCTGATATTTTCTGTTCCTACAGGACCTTCCAATAAACTGATATCAGCTGGTTATGGAATCCTCCAACCGATCAAACTAAATCCCTAAAAAAAACAATACTTGAAAATTCATCTGATGCTTACTAGCGACTGACCCTATTCAGGCAGTTAACCTGAAGTTCTAGCTGGAAGCCGTTACCAGTAGGGTGCAGAAGGTTGAAGGTGAGGCAGTAGGAAGACATTGTGAAGTAGTTGCGCTATGTCATAAATTGGCGGAAGTTAGAATCCATGGGCTGGCCATGGGATCGGGTCCCAGTGGCTTGATGGTCTCCGAGATCGCTAGCCTTTTAATCAGAAGGTCCTAGGTTCGAACCCTGGAGACGGGTGATGAAGGGTCCCAAACTAGGGCAAAACAGCTGTCCAGTGCTCCCTGCAGGTTTTCCAATGGTTCTCTAACTCATGTCAGCTCATGATGAAATCCTCAAACCAATCAAAAAAATAATAATTGACAGCAGATTGTGTGACACAATGCTGTCTTATCTGAAGCACAAGCCAATCTATTATGATATTTCTTCTTGGTGGCGTTTTGAGAAATGTACGACATTTGGTTGAAAACCGATTGTAAGAAGTTCAAGGGTACATCTTGAGACCCATGGACATAATTGGGAAACAGCTATCTACTTTAATTGGGATACGTTGCTGCTCACAATTATGCTTTTTCTCAAGTTTAATAGAAACTTATGAATCATCAGACTACAGACGATATGAATACTCATGAGAGTAGACGATACAATTAGAAGACATATCTTAATAGATTATAACAAAGTGAACAAGAGAAATGAAATTTAGTGTGGTTGATGGAGGTTTTGGGCAGCCCAAGCTTTCAGAAGGATGCCGTGCTTCTGTTTGATTCGACTCTCTTGATTGGACACTATTTAATAACTAGTGTAACGTGTCTAGCCCTTTGTCTGGTTCAGACTGAATTCTATTAGTCACTTTGGCAACATGGCCACCATGCTAGTTGGTTCGCCATCGCGACGCACTTTAAAGTGTAGATATTAGGTGGTTGGGGGCAGTTGGAAGGAAGCCTTGGACCTAGGTTTCGTGCTAGTTGGCACTCACCAGTCAGAAAGGCGTAACTGCAACGTTAAAGGAACTCGTGTCCCTTCTAAGATTCCAACTTGCGTCACCCTGTGCTGATAGAATTCAGTCTGCACCAAACAAAGCACTAGAAAAATGACACTACTGACTACCTAGTGTCCGTCCAAGTATCGAATAAAATTCTACAGGAGGTCAACTGTGGGACTGAATAGCTCAGCTGTAACGTCTCTGACTGCAGCACTGAGTGCCACAGGTTTGAATCTAAGAAGGGCCATGAGTTCCTTCAAGGTTCCAGGGACGCCTTACTCACTAACGAGTGCCAGCTAGCACGAAACCTGTGTCGAACAAGGCTTTCTTTCAATTACCTCCAACCACATAATATCAACAATTCGACTCTGTATTACTTTTTCTAGCCAATTAAAGGATGAATTGCTTACCAACGGTCTACTTACAGAATACAATTTAGTAGTGTGCAATTAGAATAATACAATTTCTCTGACTGATACCCTGTCATAGAATTAAATCAATCAGACTAAACTACATCTGATTCTTCCAAAATTATGTTTTTTGCTTGTTTGTAAAGTCTATTTGATTGGAATTATAATATATGCCATTATTTTATGATTATCTGCTGTCAAACCATATACGTGAATATACAGTGATTACGTGAATGTCAGTTTATTATAAAAAGCATAATTCAGTGAGCTGCTCCTCAAGCTGCTCCAATATATATATATATATATATATATATATATATATATATAAGGCAAAAAGTATGAACAATGAATGGAAATTTATAAATGAAGACTTTGGTGTTTAAGCTAATCAGATGATGGATACAGCGGGATTTTTAAAGTATCGACCTGGTATATTCATGCATACTTTTTAATGTTGTTTTCCCTGACCTACACATCCTCTCGTTGTATTAAATGTTTGCTCATTTCATCCTACCGAATACCTATATTATTTATTATTTTTTTATTATTGTACCCTTGGGTTCCAAGCAGAATATACGGCTTCAAGTGTACACCTCCATTTCACTGTGTTCTCTTCACTCCTATTCAGCTGGCACCACGGTTTCCCATAAGCTCTTATCTCCACCATATCACTCAACACTCATGTTCGAGTCACCGTTTCCTATTATGGGCCCCACTCCAGCAGTAGCCTGCATTAGGCGAGATGTCATTCGATGGTCTCATCAGAGTGTGTCTGATTCATTTCCAATTTCTCCGGAATACTTTTATGTCAGCAAAAGGTTCTTGATTGGTTCACTGTGAGAGTTTCTTGCTTCTAATTCTTTCTGGCTGACCACTTGATCGTCAGTATGGAACCAACGAGGGAAGCTGTTGATGGAGGTCCGCAGTCTGTTAGCAACGCTCTTCTTGAGGGAGTACCTCTATGGGGAACATATATTAAGATATATACTAACTGAGTGTAAACAGTAATATTTCTGAATTAACGGGTTACATAAAAATACTAGAAGTGTTGCCGGATGATTCGTTTTAGTAAACCAACAATCCAAGGTTAATTTGAATCGATTTTTAAGCAGCTAAATTTAACTGTATGCATTTATCTTTAAATAGCATGAGATATGACTGACAGAATCACGAGACAAACTGTACAAGATTCAGTCACTCATAGGACGAATACTGGTTTCACTTAGAGGTTCTTAGCACTCAGCCCAGTATATCTGTTGAGTAAATAATTCTGGAACGGAATTATTGTTTAGAAAATCGCTACTCAACAATCTAATCACAATATTCATAATCAAGTATTGCTTTGTAAGGATTTGGTTGATTGGTTACAGGATTTCATCATGAGCTGACATTGGTTAGGGAACCAGTGGACAGGTCTCTCGTCATAGTTTGGGACTCTTCATCAGTACGCACCCATCGGGGTTCGAACCCAAGACCTTCTGATTAAAAAGCCAGCGAGCTCATAGACCATTAAGCCACTGGGACCCGATCCAATGGCCCATGAATTCTAACTCCTGCCAATTCACCAATCAACCAAATCCCGACAAACCAATACTTTAATATCAATGACATGCTCACCAGCGGCTGACCCTATTCAGGTAGGTAGTTACCTGAGGTTCCGGTGAGAAGTCGGGACCAGTAGGGTGTAGCAGGTCGGGGGTGAGGACAAATACTTGCCGAAGACATTGGCTAGAGGTCGCGCTATGTCGTGAATTGGCAGAAGTTAGAATTCATGGACCATTGGATCGGGTCCCAGTGGCTTAATGGTATACGAGCTCGCCTTGTAACCAGAAGGTCCTGGGTTCGAACTCTGTTGGTGGGTACGTTCTGATGAAGTGTCCCAAACAAGGACGAAACAGTTGTCCAGTACCCACTATATTCATACTTATTTGGATGTTTTAACTAAATTTCTAATCATTTTCCTCTTTCTTCCTGGGTGACACATTATCCTAACATTCTCATATCTCCGGTTGACTTATAATGTCTTGTTTAACTATGTGATTTTGTCTGAGTGAATGTAGTTGTTTCTGAGACTAGACTGAATTCAGGAACTGATTTTTGCTGACAGAGTTTTGCTGCCACCTTGTTGGGAATATTCTAAGTGATTCACAGATGCTTCTCAGAGTTGAATTTTGGTTGACTAATTTTGTTCCACTGTACTTGTTTTGTAGCGAAAAATTATGTAGCCTGTATAGTCACTTGACGACACTGTTGAGTTAATTTTTAGTTTTTGATGCTGTTATTGTTCAATAGAGCCACACACAGATCTAACCAAGAACACTCATCTTTCTGTTCTCTTTGGAACGTTTTGTGACTGTGCGAATCTGAAGGAGGTTTTGCTAGCTATACAGCAGGATACAGAGATCGATTTCCTGTATTCAGAACACAGTGAGACAGTTTCAGTCGCATGCGATTCCTTTACATTGTGATTTGTACGGAGTGAGACCGTTCTAGATGTATATTTCATTCTTATTGGCACAGATTAATCAATCTTCAGATGTCACTTGAGAAGACTGCTATGATGTAGATAAATTCATCAAGAAAAATGCCAGAACGTCCTTACCATTAGATACAAATCTCTTTACTCTCGTATTTTTGTTTATCTAAACAGTAATTTTCCTTGAAAACATTACGTAAGCAAAGTCTGTGCGTAAATGTTGTAAATACACTGCAGTATGCACCAAGACATACAATCACACACAGACGTAATTACAGTGTGTTCAATGAATAACACTCATTTGCCACCGTTTTTCGCCAGAGTGAATTATTTCATACTTAAGAACAACACATGCAAAAGAACAGCAGTATCTTCAATTAGATCTCACCAGTTGTTGGTCATCTATACATAACTATGTAAATATGTAGTAAGCATGAAACGGTCATGGAGACCTACCAACAGGATTGTAAAACTGTTCATATGAATTGTACAGTCACTTATAATTCATAATAATAACAACAACGAAAAAGTGAAGAGATTTGTGATAACAGGGATAATGAAAAGTGGCATGATTATACAAACAAATATTCAGATAGAGGTAGTAGATAAAGGCTAAGAAAAACAAATGGTCCGATTAAGTAATGCTAGATTGTAACGGAAGTGAATATCCTAGGTTTAAATGAAGATGGAATAATTTTCAAGTATCGGTTTTATAGTGATTTTTTGTTTGATTGGTTGGGGGATTTTATCATGAGCTGGGGTTCGAACCCAGGACCTTCCAGATACAAGGCAGACCATCTTGTAGACCATCAAGCCACTGGGTCCCCATCCAGTGGTTACTCCATGAATTCTTACTTCGGAAAATTCATGACGTAGCGCGATGCCTTCGCAATGTCTTCAGGCAGTGACCTGGAGTTCTAGTGGGAAGCCGTGACTAGTAGGCTGCAGCAGGTTGAAAGTGAGGCAGTAACCAACCGAAGAAGACATTGCGAAGTGGTTGCGCTATGTCATGAATTGGCAGGAGTTAGAATTCATGGACGGCCATTGAATCAGATTCTAGTGGCTTAATGGTCTATGAGCTAGCTCGCTTTGTAACCAGAAAGTCGTGGTTTCGAACCCTGATATACAAACTCGATGTAATAATTTTAATTTTTTCAGTTATCTACCTCTGATATGGAACATAAAGCTTCAACCTCCTGAGATTTCAGTGCCAGTGGGGTTCCGAACCTCCCCTAGCCCTCCTTCTATTCCAGACTTACTATGGGTTACCAAATTAGGTGGACTAGCAGCAGGTAGGTTGGAACTTGAACCTGAGCCGTCATCATGGCTGGCTAGCATTTTGCCACTGCAACACCGACGCAGCGTCAACACTACAAGATGATTATAAATGGTTTTATTTCTTTCTCAAAATTTCATGAATTTGTCTATGAGAAAGCAGTAGATTATAATGTGTTACTTGACGAGTGAATACATTTACCTCATTAGAAACCCTTCTGTTTATTGAGGTGCTTCACATGAGACTTAACATTTTGAAATTCGTTTAAAACTTAAATTAAGAAAGCGTTTATTTCTGTATATAACATTCACTAAACTATAATTACAAGTAGTTACTTTACTGTGAAATAAAATTAATTATATATTTATTTCCCCATGCATAATTAAATGTTGCTATAAATATAACTTTGGAAATTTTCCCAGTTTTTGGATAAGAATGAATCGGCCTTAAAATACATGAATTCAGATTTCATCAACACGTATCTAAGGCAGCGTTTTATGTGATATGGATTAGAAATTACTAAGTTTACGAGTATTGCCCATCGAATCACATTACCACGTTTATTTTTGTTCACTTGTATTATATAGCAGGATTCGTCAGGACAAATTTCGCCAAAAACTTATAAATAATTAAGTTTAGTGCATGTTCGAAATAATCGAGTGGACAAATTAACACCCATACTATGACCTGTTTACTTGGTTACACATGATCTTTTCCAGAATACCAGATGTATGCTATGCAGTCAATTTAGTCGTGTTTATGGGCTAAATAGGGGGTTATGGGACATTTCAAGCGTTTTTAGAGAGTTCGCCCCAACCATTTAATATTGATTTTGAAATAATAGAGAAGATTTGTAGCTTAGGTGGATGGTTTCTATGTGGTTGCATTCTCTGACCTGTGGGATTTAACTGAGGAGATGTCATTTTGTCCCTAGACAACATCTTCAGCGTAAGTTGCGATATGAAGTGAACATACCTGCATTATCCATTGACAGTAGAAGCTTCGCAATTATATCACACGGCTCAGAGAATGCAACCACATTAAAATGGTTCCGATTTGTCCATTATAAAGTCCAAATAGTTTATTGCCTCTAGCAGGTTGTTTTACAAACTTAGAAGTGACTTCACAATTACCTGTAGTCAGCTATATATCACTTACATTTGCTGGAAGTCAGTAGTATGCTATAGTAGGATCTTAGTTTCCATCAGTGTAAACCTTATTAAATTATCTTCATTCCTTAGTAGTAATGTACACTGCGATAACAATACAGTTCAGAAATAGTATATATTTATATATATCCTGGAGCGCTAGGTTTCTAGCTAGCCATTAGTCTGGGGAAATAAAGGAGGCTGGGAGTGAGGCTAGTGCCCCTACATCTGAAAAGTGATCCATTCACTACAGAAAATTGAAACTTATCCTTTACTGAAGTCGGAGAGATGGAATAACGTGGGCTGATGGAAGCCTTCGGAAAGTCAGTTAGTCGATGTGTCTTCTTTATATGAGTACAAAAATAAGCACTGAAACATAAAGTGTTCGTACAATATACAAAGTTGGGAAGGCAACACAGACCTTCATTCCTTCGAAATCAGTGTGGAAATCTTCTGCACTTAACATAAAGAACAAAAATCGAAATTCCAACACAAGTGTTAAGTCAGTCACTTCTTCTGTATGGGTCAGAGGTGTGTCTTGATCGTCACCAAAAGCATTTCCAACAGGCTAATACACGTTAATATCAAGAGCCGCCTTAGTGCCATACTGTAGACCAGATGGCCAGTTAGAAATGGTTACCAACAAGGAATTCTGGGAACGAACTCATCAAGGACCTACTGCTCAACAAATATTTTTTTTTATTTTTTATTACAGCTTGATGCCACACCGTATTTTCAGTACAAGTATGGAATTTTCAGCCTGGATATCGGTAGCCCAAATTTTGCAGGCCGACCATAGATATCGGGTGTGCGTCGGCAGGGGATCGGACCTCGGACCATGTGCATGGTTGGCGAGAGTCCTAACCACTGTGCCACCGACGCACAGATGGTTGGAGGCAATCGGCAGGAAGCCTTGGACCTAGATTTCGTGCTAGTTGGCACTATTCAGCAAGGCATATCTGCAACCTTGAAGGAACCCATGTCCCTTCTGAGATTCGAACCCGCGTCAACCAGTGCTGCAGTCAGAGACGTTACCACTTAGCTATTCGGGATCGCGATTGACCTCCTGTAGGACTGTACTGGATATTTTGATTTGACACTAGTAACTAGTGTGATGCGTCTAGTCCTCTCTTTGGTGCAGACTGAATTCTATCAGTCAGGTTGTAATGTGGCTACCATTCTAGGTAGCTCGCCATCACGGTGTACATTGTTTGTGATGATATTAGGTCGCGAGCCTGAATAGCTCAGTGGTAACGTCTCCGACTGCAGCACTGGATGATGTGGGTTTCAATCTCAGAAGAAAGTGAGTTGCTCCAAGGTTGCAGATACGCCTTGCTGAAGAGTGCCAACTAGCACGAAACCTAGGTCCAAGGCTTCCTGCCGATTGCCTCCAACCATCCAATATCATCACAAACAATGTACACCGTGATGGTGAGCTACCTAGAATGGTGGCCACATTACAACCTGACTGATAGAATTCAGTCTGCACCAAAGAGAGGACTAGACGCATCACACTAGTTACTAGTGTCAAATCAAAATGCTCAACAAATATTCTGAAGAAAGTGGAGGTAGATCGCACACACACTGATGAGATTGTTTGGTGACATGGCGCTCTATGCAAGAAATCTCTGGGGTGGAACGCGAATAGAAATGTCAAGTTTGGCGTCGGTTCGAGGGTGACATGGTGCAGATTGTGTAAGGGGGAGATGAAAACCTATTGTCATTCGGTGTGCCGGCTAAAGTAGACTGCAGAAAACAGGACAGAATGAAGAAGTGCTATTGAAGCCGTGTATTCCACTCGGTACTCAAAGATATAATAATAATTCCAGTTCCAGAGAGTAAATAAAACTAGGTATTGGTCAACTTTAGATTAAGATACTTCATTGAAGCTTGATAGGTGTTTTCATAGAAAGATAAGCCGTTCCTCTTGCACTCCTCTTCACAGTAATTCTTAAGAAGGCTTATGCCTTTACCTGCATTGGCATACAAAGCAGTAATCAGAAATCTTTTAAAAAAATATTAACTGCAAATAAGAAATTGCTTACTCTGAGAAAATTATCAAGTGATCCATTCTCCATAAACTCAATAATTATCATTTTAGGCTCTGATTGAGTTACTAATCCAATCAACTGTACGATATTTGGGTGATCCAACTGACTCATTGTGTCTGCTTCTGTTAAAAAGTCTTGACGTGTTTTTTCATTGACATTTGGATGTAACATTTTTATGGCAACAAGTTGTGGTTTATTCTCAGGCAAAGTTAAAAAATCACCAGCGCATACTTTACCGAATTCTCCTAGAGAAAAGGAAAAGAGAAAAGCGGGTTTATTCTACAAACAATCTAAACATAAGAAATGTTTAAATAATGATATTACTTTCCGTTTAAGTCTGATCACGGATTGATGCCAGTTGGACAGCATTAGACAACTCTTTCATCCTAGTTCGTGACTTTTCAGCAGTATGTACTGACAAGAGTTCGAACCCAGGATCTTTTGACATCAAACTTAGAATAAATCAAACCCCTAAAAACTAACCCTTGAGACTGGCTACAGGATTTCATCATGTGCTGGCATCAGTTAGACAACCACTGGAAAACTTGGGAGTACTGGACAGCTGTTTCATCCTAGTTTGGCACTCTTCACCACTACGTGACCACCGGGCTTCCAGCCCTGGACCTTCTGGTTGCAAGGCTAACGAAATCGTATACCACTAAGCCACTGGGGCCTGACCCAGTGGTCCATAAAACCAAAAATTTATAACCCTTGAGAACTAATATGACGCTCGCTGGTAACTGGCTACAAGATGAATTTGTCTGATGTTCCAGGAAGAAGTCATGGCCAGTGGGGACAAATACTTGCTGATGACATTGTTATGTGGTCGCACTAAAAAATCACAATTTGGTAGCAGTTGGGGTTAGTGAGCCACTGAATTGGATACCAGTGTCTGGATGTTTTAAGAGCTCGCCTTAAAACCCGGAGGTCCAGGGGTCGAGGTACAGTGAGTGTATCCTCCTGCGAATGAGTTTCGAACTGCGATGAAACAACTGTGTAACTTGATATAACACAACTAAATTGAAATGAGATGATACGCAGGCAGTCCTAATGACTCGAAACATGATGATTTTCAAAAATTAAAAACTATTAGCCGGTTTAATAAATTTGGACCGTGTTATTAAAAGACGAAGATTGGCTGAAAAATGTGATGTATCTGCGCAATAAATTTCAAACAGTTAGGTCACACCGAAAAATAAACAAAGTGATTTGAGATCTACGGATAAAGACGACAATTATTAACACTACTTTAGTGATATAACCAGATAGGGATTACCAAGGTAGTTCAGGAGTAGTAGTAAATTGTTTTTGAAGTCACTGAGGAGTTGGGGCTAATTTTACTGATAGCCATCTCCTCAGCGTACTTCAGTAAGCACCACTGTCTGTTTTTATAAGTAATCTAGAAATCTATGTTGATATCAGTCTTATGATTCATATCAATTAGGTGCTTTGCTATAGATGAAGTTGGTAATCTCTGTCATTGGCGTTTCTCGAGGTTTTACAGTTCATTTGTTTTTCTAACTACTGCGGTATATACTCCCCTGCGCTAACACGTACAAACTGCGATTACTCCTACCTATATATAAGTGACCACAGACACACACAAGTAAAATGGTATATGGCTTGGAATGAGACGTTATCACTTGTGCAATTATGGGGCTTTTCCAATAATTATAAGCTGGGCAGCATAGAGAGGGTTACAAAGTTCAAGTGCATGTGTGATCAAGCCTTTTTAAATTTAATGTGCACATACACCGAACACACTTCTCTCAGATAACCTCCTTATTATAATAAAATTACCGAAATAATACTTGCCAACAATTTCTCAAAAGTGTGATCAAATTCATTTGTGTTCATGTCAGTAGATGCATACGAAGTTAATTGTATATAAGTAGCTCTTCATGAGATCTCTAATAAATGTATTCTTGGTCTCTGGTTAAAATAAAACTATTTCTTTTGGTCAAGAACTTCTTTTTCATTTTCTTCCGTTTGAAAGACAATGAACATACATATTGGATATCAATTACTGCATCTTTCACTTGTGGTAAATATGACTATTTAGTTTAAAAATGACCTGTTGCTCGACCAGTATATGGAAGAATATGGAGATAGATCGAACGAACACTGAGAAGAGCGTTGGGTGACATCGCACTCAGTGCAGGCCACCGCTCGAGTCGAACCTGATTGGGAAACGATGAGTTCGCCTTGTGTCCAAGAGTGATATGGTGGTAGTGTGAGTAGGTGAGAGCTTATGCACAACCGTATGCCCATATAAAGACAGCTGCAGAGAATAGGACAAAACAGAGATACCCTTCTGAAACCCTATGTTCCAATCGGAACTCAAGAGAGCAATAATACATAATAATAGTTTGAAAATGGGGTCTCTGAATAGCAAGTTTCCTCTGGGTAAATATTTTCTTCATTAGATTACGTAATATCGAAACTCCACTCAAAGACTTATGGTCACATCTGATATACATTAAGGTGGTGGTCAACAGAAAAGTAACGCCTTCGAATTGAAACTCTAAACATCCTATCTAGTTGTTTTCCAACAGTATTATATACGACACGCCTATCCTGGACCATCTATAGGTTATAATATGCTTCTCTAGATTGCATAGCATTCCCCTCTCTTATTATTCATAGGAAGTGCCGATTTCTCATTTCTATCACTCATGTTTCACTGAGCATGTTACCAAGTGAAACCTTTTCCTGCATTTTGCCTACTACATTCAAATTACATTGAACGAAATGGCTCGTTAAATCTGTATTTTGTCTGATTTTTATTTCATAAGCATACATCGCGTTACAGTACTCGAGAATAGCCCACTCAAATCAACTATTGATAATTTCCAACTGCATGATAGATATGTGGACGACATCTTTATTATCTGTAATGATGGTCACTATCTTAATCAATTGCTACAAATATTCAACAATTGTCATTCAGCTACAAAGTTCACTCTTGAAATTGAATCGAATCTAAAATCCCTTTTCTTGATGTTGAACTTACAAGGAGAGGTGACGGAACTTTAGGCAGGTCTATCCATAGGAAACCCAAATGGAACGACCAACTGACAATCTTCTACAGCTAGGTACCAATCAGTCGAGAAAGAAACCTAATTAGATATCTTGCCACTCGCGTCCGATGCATCTGCAGCTCTGATACCCTAGAAGAAGAACTACACTTCCTGAAAGAAACCTCCATACAAAACGGTTATCCTTCAAGATTCGTAGGCGAAAACATCAAACAAAAAATCCAAAAGCAAGAGTTGACAACCGTGCTAAAAACGATACTTTATATGAACCTCGACTTCACAGGGTACCTACTCAGTGATGACCTAAAGAGGAGAATTTCCACTTTTTTAAGAAGAACTTTCTTCACGCTGACACTTGGACTATTGTTCTACGGTAGCCCGCTGATCTGTGGAAGCCCAAAGGACACGACCTCGCACCTGATCACGTCTATGTGTATATATCAGTTCACCTGATACTGTGGAGACAGGTAAATTGATCATTCGACGCGCATCCTGTCAAAAAAGTTCAAGTAACAGTATCCAGCGTGGCTGAAGAAAGGGAGTATAAAGAGTGCGACAATCGAATATCCCATCACAACTGGTCATTCCGTCTCAACTAACGCCTCCTTCAAAGTAATCTACTAACTGAAGAACAACCTGCCAAAGACAATATGTTTCCGTCTTCTAAGCACCGCAGAAGAGCATTCAGTTGGAAGAACCAGAACTATGCACACAAAAGAAAATTATTCAACCACTTCTACTATCATGGTATTAACTCTGTTGATTTGACGTGACTTTTGATTGTTTGCTCGTTTTTTCTAACTACTTAAAACCTTTGCGTAATTCCGTATCTTATTTTGTTTCCATGTACACCCTGAGCATAACTATTTCATCAGACTGTTCACGTTATTACACAACACTTCTTTAACAATCATTTGTGACAACTCATCGCTTTTGTTACTACCCTCTTATATCAAAATTCAATTCCTCTGAACGCTTTTTGTATTAGGTAACCTCACCAAAAATTTACTAAATGTATCTTTGCTTGAGACATTTAATGTACACCCACATACAAAATAACAATATATACTTGCGATTGTAGAATCGGAAAAGCAAGACAGGCTTTCACTACTCTCAAGTCTGTGTGGAGGTCAACAGCACTCAGCATCGAAAATAAGATCCGGATTTTCAACTCCAATGTGAAGTCAGTGCTACTATACGGATCAGAGACTTGCACTGTGCGTCATAAAAGGGCATCTCAAACAAACTACAGACCTTCACCAACAGTTGTCTTTGCTCAATAATCAAGATCAGATGGCCAGCCAGAAAAGATCAGCAATAGGTATCTCTTGGAGCAAGCCAACCAGGAACAGATTGTGAAACAAATATGCAGGAAGAAATGGAGATGGATTGGCCATACTCTGAGAAAACAAGCCATCAAGTGACATCACTGGACAAGTCATCTCTCGAGTGGAACCCGAAAAAGAAGCGACGAGTTGGTCGTCAGTGCGAGGGGGACTTGGGGGAGGTCGTGTGAAGAGGAGATGAAAACGTGTGGGCAGACTTGGAGCCAGGTGAAGACTCTAGCAGAGAATGGAACTTGCGATTGTACAGCTGAAAAGAGAATCTTCACTGAACTACTGGTTTTCTCTCTATTATTATACGAATTCTTAAATGAAATTAATCGAAAAGTCAACAGTGAGCACGTAAAATAAGGACAGCTTATGTAGAAAATTATTCTACAGGTTGAAAATTTCTAGATTTCTACGTAATGCAACTAAAAAGACTTAGTAAACTCATTTTCATTCATATATAAATGCATTCTTTTGCTTCATTTAAGGTGAATTCGTATCCTGTACGCAATAATGTCAGTGCGACCTTTCTGCATGATTTTGATCTAATTTCATAAATCATGCTCAAGGCACTTTTTATAGGAAGCAGATGACCTGGAAAATGGTTGTGATGGGGAATATATATCTATCGACGAACTTATATTCTGCATGATAGCGGTAGGTTTCTTCAGCACATACTGACAATATATTCAGCAGTTTACTTAATACATACACATAACACTCAAAACTAAACGAATATTTAAGAACAGTGATAAAATTTCTATAAAGTTAGTGAATCTGGATGAGAAAAGTACCAAAATTTCTGTTTAAAATTAGTGTTAAAGTCTTTTCTGCACTAATTTAGACTTCATATCATAAGTATTTTGACTGGTGGTCTTTTGACAACGGTCATCATAGGCCTTAAACTTTTAAATATCTTATCAGGTGAACTGAATTTGCCACCCTTTTCATTGGAGTAAAATTTCACAACTACCACAAAGAGGGTCAGAAAGATCTTAAGCAAATAAATTTATTCCAAACAACATAGGACGATACAATATAGTTTTCTGACGAATATTTCAGTAAAAAATATTAACAAAACATAAGTCAGCGAAGAGACCTCTTCTGTTCGCAACTTCAATTCATATCTGTACGACGATTTAGGTAGTTTATGTATTTATACGTCTCACTTTCTCTACACATGCTCTTCTTCACCAAACGTCGAAGACAGGATCCTGCTGTTAGCGACTTCAGTGTGTATTTAACAATTCACCTGCTCCTGGGGAGCTAAGTATATAGGTCGTGACAGAAGAACATTTTCTAGACGTACCTATGAATACTTAGAAGCATGGTTATCAAAAGAATGTAGGACAGTCAACAGCTCGATTCTGGAGCATATTATTATCTCTGGTCATATGGGATTAGCAGAAACATTTGTCAGAGTCATATATAAATTACAACGAAGTCATTCAAAAAGGATTCCTCCCACATATTCTTCATGCAGCCAAGGACATAGCGATCCGTATGAAGAAACTTGAGCTTTGTGTTCACAACCTTTTTATCGAGCTATTTTTACTGTCGTGGACTTAGAAATATTTTTTTCATTCCTTCTGTGTTTTCCTGAATAACTTTATAATAAGATCTATGTAGTCCAGTTTATGTTTTTACAACTCATCCTCGATCCTTTGTTCTCTTGTTTCTTATCAACTATTTCCAAACGATTACTAATATTATTATCATTGCTCCCTTGGGTTCCTGGTGGAACATAAGGCTTCAACTACACGCCTCCACTTGCTTTTGTCTTCTGCTCTACTTTTCACCTGCATCCATGTTAGTCCATACTGTTTCAACTTCTCTTCACACGATCTCCTCCATGTCACCCTTGGACGTCCCACTCGCCGCTTCCCTTTCGGGTTCCACTCGAGCTATGGCCTGACGCACGATGTCACCCAGTGGCCTCCTCAGCGAGTGTTCAATCAATCTCCACTTTCTCCCGCATATGTGTTGGCCGATTGGTTCTCGTTTTGTTTGTTCCCATTGTTTCTTGTTGGTGATTCTTTCCGGCCATCTGATCTTCAGTATAGAGCGAAGACAGTTGTTGATAAAGGTCTACCACCTGCTGAAAATATTCTTTGTGAGCCGCAAAACGACTACTTATCACCCAACTAATTAGCTGCCAGCGTCTTCCATCATAGATAAGATTTTATTTTGATAAATCACACAGTGTTGTAAAGTAATATTAATTGATGACGTTTCGAGAACAAATTACTGCTCATAATCATGTCAAGTCACTCAAACAACTTTTTTTAACATAGTTACAAATATATATATATATCTTAAGAACTTTACTCTGGCCACGGTAGGGCGGGCGAATGTATGTATCGCTTTTGAATGCAGAGGTTATAGTTATACTTTACCACAGTGCCCAAGTTTTATGCTTATGTCAGCACTCTCTGTCTCTCTTTATGTAAGATTATTCGGAAGTTTTCAAGCATTGTTTTTTTACTCAAAAAATTTGTTTTAACCAGTTACTGATTGACACTAACCTTTGACCTTTGTTGTTAATCTACATTCTGTATCTAAACCCCCTAAATAACTGTACAACAGCTTTGTAGTGAAGTTACGAACAGAAAAATTCGCTTTCTGCTGACTCACGTGTTCCTAATGAAATGAAGTCGGAATTTTTCGTACAAAATATTGTTGAACCTATTTCGGCGTCGATTCAATGAACGAAACATCAGCCGTCTATTTCTTTCTTACCATGTTAACTATAAAACACGATATTTGATTGTCTGATTGCATGTCACTCCATCCACAGAGATGATTCGGCACCCTTCTCGAACAGTCATTCCCTTCAAACGGGAAATGAGTTTACTCTGTTTAACAGTTTAACCTATATACTTGATTCCTCAGTTGGTTGTAACATAATACTATAACCTACGAAATGGAAACGACAGTATGAATCTCTGAAGAATTTGAATACGTGAATTAGGACCAACAATATACTAAACAGCAAAGTTAGCAAAAAATAACATTTAGAAAAACAGCAACCTGTCAACGACATACCTTCACCAATTGTTTTCTTGATCATAATCCGGCGTGGATCGATTTCTTTGTTGATTTCCCTGATTGAAACCGGTGGTTGAAGTGGATCACATACGGTAGACTTCAATGGAGTGGAATGGTCACTTACTGACGGACTGTCTGGAGCTATATTTAAAAGTGATAAATCATTAGTATTCTGTCTACTACATTGGTAGTGCTGCGAACTAATTATACACACGAGTAAAAGTTGAAATGAAAATCTGTGAAAAATCTGAAACAAATAAGTCTCGCAAAGATATTTGTGAATGTTATGATCCTCATCCTTCTTTGATGCAGTTGGAAGCTCAATATGACTAAAAATGTATACAACATCTAAGAAGGTGTCTATCTTTTCAGTACTTTAATATTTCCTACTTAACAGGCCTATTTTAAGAGACTAAATAACAAAATGTATGTTTTGAACTTCTGAAATTCTCAATATCTTACTATTTCCGTTTCAAAATGACGACGATAATGCAATTATTTCATTTACATTACTGTTCACACGCTTTAGGCTCAATACTTCGGATGTAGACATTGCAAACCCATTCGCGTATTCGAACAGAAGTGTATTTTGATGACGTGGCATAAACTTTGAATCACTGGGCTGCCTAAATTTCCTATCACTCTAAATACATCGTATTTAGTTAACTTAATACTTTTTTTATTCATCCAGTTGCCAGTATGAATGCGTAATCTATACTCGTGTACATTTTCAAGTAGATTTTTAGACACTGTCATGAAGTTTTCAAGAGGAATCGCGGAAGAACATTGTGAAGTATTGAAGCATGCTTCGGATGGAACAGTATTACTTCAGATGATATATTACCGCTTGTTATATTACTGTGCATAAGGGAATAATAACAATATATAATTATTCTTTATTCATATTTTTGGGAAAAATTATTTGGCAAAAGATTTGAAATTACCCTTGAAATTAATCCTATATATTTTGTTAAACACTATAGTAGGAATAATGAATATTCATTTTATGGGAAAGTGAACTAGCCTTCAAGTTTCACAGCCTGTTTTCTGTCATCCGTACATATACTACTTTTGTGGATATAAGTGTGGTTAAGGAAATGAGAAGGATATTTGACTGCAGCTAAGCATTCACAGATATTTTATTCAGGTGTTATCAATTATATTTATTTAGATTACTAGTCTGAAACAAAGCAAACAACTGGGCTACATTGAATATCTGAGAGTATGAAAACGCATTGTGTGAGGCAACCAATCCCATTCCATGTCATCAAAATGATCTTCAGAAAACACATGCTAGCCGATCTAAACGGTCAATTAATTGTCGACAGTTTCTCCACTTTTGTCCTGTAAAATGCTAAGGAAAATTTCAAACTGAAATCATTCAGCCTACAAAACATGATATCAAATATGTTTCACTAATTTCATTGAAGGGTGTTAAGAACAAGCGGACGGAAAATTTGGAAATTACGTTTAATGGAACTTTACTATATTTATTTCCAATGACTTGGAGAAAATTTTCTAGAAAGTGTAGAAGTTTCACATAGTTTCACTAAGGGATAACCAATCCTACTACCCAATCCTGAGACATGAAAATGTTCTCCACACATAACCATATGAGTCGATTATGAATATTTAGACACCCGAATAAATGACATGTTCAACACTAAATTTATCTGGAAGTATACTTTGATTGGACACTAGTAACCAGTGAGATTTGTCTAATCCTATCCTCGGTGCAAACTGAATACTGTAAGTCAGGTTTGCAGTGTGGCTACCATTCTAGATAGCTCGCCTCCGACCATCTGATATCATCATATCAATGAGCACCGTGACGCTGCGTTACCTAGAATGGTGGCCACATTGCAAACCTGACTGACAGAACTCAGTCTGCACCAAAGAAAGGGCTAGATACCTCGCACTAGTTACTAGTGTCCAGTCAAAGTATCCAATACAGTCCTACAGGAGGTCAATCACGAGCCCAAATAGCTCAGTAGTAACGTCTCTGACTGTAGCATTGGGTGATGCGGGTTTGAATCTCAGAAGGGACATGAGTTCCTTCGAGGTTGCAGAAACGCCCTGATAACGAGTGCCAACCAGCACGAAGTCTAGATCAAGCAAGGCTTCCTGCCGATCGCCTCCAACCATCTAATATTGTCTGAGGGTATATTAGGTATATTCATAAAATACATGGAAATTTAGTTGTTCTTCTTCCCATCTATATGCACTTGAAATTCAGAGGAGATATTTTATTAGGTAACCTGTTAACCTTAAATTCCATTGAGTCAGGTGATACTTACTCTTTCTTATAACGTGAATGTTTATTCTGCTTGTTGTTTAGTTTCCCCATTAAGCAATCTCAGTCACTTTTTAATACACTGAATGATTATTATTCTTCGCTTCAAATAGATTGTGAATTGAATCTTTATCTAAGTGTGTTTTATTAACATTTTGGTTTTTTGTCTGTAATTGTTTAAAATGGTTCTCCTTCTATCTCTTAGTTTACATGTTGCAATTTAACACTGTTTTCCCATTTGTTACCAGAATTGTAATTTCCCCTTATCCATTTTGTTCTTTATTCACTCTTGCTCAACGTCCATAGATCTCTTACGCAAACTAAGGACTAGGCTGAGAGAAATAATTACACCTGATTTTGCAAAAGAATCTTCCTTTTATCTCTGTGTTACAAGAATAAAATCATCTCAACAATTAGTGTTATTACTTATGATTAACGCAATGATTATTGACTCCTTTCATTTCCAAGGTTCATAGCTGGCTTTATCAGTGAACATTTCCAAGAAAAATGAATTCTTCTGAATTCTAGAGGAATAGGCTTCAATCTGTCTCCTATTTTACTGGCTTTGAGAACTGATCATTCTCATCACATTTTTAGGTTTGATCAGGTTACTTACAGGTCACACTAGTTGCTGCACTATTTTTATTCCTATAGGTGCAACACATCCTCGCTTCACCCATTTCTTTGAAGCCCTCTTCAGCTGGCCCCAAGATCGTCCATACACCTTTATCTCCTCCCTACACAACCTCCTCTGTGCCACACTCGAACATTCACTAAAGTCACCGTTTCCTAATTGGGTCCTAGTCGATGGCCTAGTGCCTGATATCACCCAACGGTTTCACCATCCTATGTCCATCCATCTCCATTTTCTTCGGCGTACTTGCTGATTCACTGACAAAATTCCTTGTTACTAATGCTTTCCAGCCCGCGATCTGATCCTCGATATAGAGCCAGGGAAGGTTGCTGTAGATGAAAGTCTGCAGTCACCCACTGGAAATTTCCATAGTTATGCACTAAGTCTCATAACCATATAGAGTTGATGTCAGTGTTGAAAATCTGAATCTTGTTCCTTATACTGGTTGCAGCAGATTTCGTTTACTGATTTACGAGTACCAAATTTATGATTTGCCTTTCTGGTCCCAGCTTTGACTTTCTTATCTTTTCCGCCTGCAGTTAAACCGATACTTTCTAGGTGAGTAAAAGAAGTGACGTCATTCAAACTTCTTCCATTGATATTGGTTGGTGCCTGCTACAGTTAATTAGGTTTCTTCATCACTTACTTCTTCTCAGTGTCCACTTCAAGTCACCGTCTTTGCTGCATGCCTCTTCTGCTATTTTGTCCGTGAAGTGTAAAGCTTCTTGAGTCTTCTTTCCAGTCTAACTTATTTATGTCGCGTCGCTTCCCAGTACATCACAGTGAGGAATCAGAGATGGTGATTAACCTAGTCTTGCTCAATTGCTGCATCATCTTTCGAATAGCCACTCCTGATACAGATGACACTGTAGAGGTTGTGTGTGTTTACTTGAAGCTCCTGTTGTTGAAGGTTGTTACCTTAGTGGAATTCTGCCATGCTAAAAGCCACCTCATTTTTGAATCATGCAAATACGAAAGTAAATTATATTTTCCTGAGAACCTGTATTGACTTAATTAACTGGTTTCAAAATATGACATAGCTGGAAATACGGTCCACTGCCTACATCAGTCAACACAGACTTGAAATTGAAAAATTCCAGTGAGGACGTGTAAAGAAAATGAGACCAGCAGTTACATGAAAAGCCCAAACTATAACAAATGAGTGACTGGAGATCATCCAATTAACTATCTAATAACATAAATTACATACCTTCCAGTTGTAAATCACGTTCTGTTGGCTTTTCAACATTCTCATTTGTCACACCGTTTAACGAATTTGGAACAAGAACTGTTTCCATTTGCCTAAATATAAAGTTGAATTTTTTAAAAAACATTCGGAAAAACTTCGATATAAAAACTAAGGTTATCGCAGTTCTTTCTTGTAGTCGAAAATAGCAAGCAATGATGGGAAATAACACACTGCTGATCACTTGCAAGTTCTTTTCGAATATTCAAACTTACACTTTGTCAGAGTTTCACCAGTTACAGGTTCTGTTACACGAGATATCAGTATCGCTTGGGAAAATATTAGAAACTAGGAGTCACTCAACAATGGATTATTATTCATTCCTTGACAGTGCACAACTCCATTAACTAACCGGAGGTAAAAAGGTCAGTGCATTACTATTAGGGCAAACGTTTGTAATTATTATTGTTTCCTTTAATTCATAGAGGAACATAGGACTTCAGCCAGGCGTCTCCATTGCGTTCGATTCTCTGCTAAAGTCTTCACCTGGCTCAAAGTCTGCTCACACGCTTTCATCTCCTCTTCACATGATCTCCTCCAAGTCACCCTCGCACTGACGACCAACTGACCGCTTCCCTTTCGGGTTCCACTCGAGCGATGGCGTGTCTTATGATGTCACTTGATGGTTTCCTCAGAGTATGGCCAATCCATCTCCATTTCTTCCTGCCTATTTGTTTCACAATTGGTTCCTGGTTGGTTCGCTCCCAGAGATCTCTGTTGCTGATCTTTTCTGGCTGGCCATCTGATCTTGAGTATTGAGCAAAGACAGATGTTACTGAGGTTCTGTAGTTTGTTTGGTGTGCTCATTATGACGCGCTGGCCAAGTCTCTGATCCGTATAGTAGCACTGACTTCACACTGGAGTTGAAAATCCTCGTTTTATTTTTGATGCTAAGTGTTGTTGACCTCCACACAGACTTGAGAGTAGGGAAAGCTTGTCTTGCTTTCCCGATCCTTGCTTTGATATCCTCGTCAGTTCCGCCTGTAGTTGAAACGGTGCTTCTCAGGTAGGTAAAGGAGGTTGTTTCTTTCAGGTTCCTTCCATTTATGCTGATTTCTGTCTGTTGTTTTTGTTGCTGTTGGTGTTGTTCTTGTCCAGGAATCTTCATCACCTCTGTTTTCTCTATGTTCACCTGAAGGATGTCCTATCTTTGATGCTTCTTCTGCCAACTTGTTGCTTTTCGCTTGCATATGTTCTAGTTTGTGGGAAATCAGACATATTTATCGGCGAAGTCCACATCCTCTAAGTTTTTTGTGTGAATCCATTTTATGCCTGTTTCCAATACTTTTTGCGTTAGATGTCTGCAATTCGTCATATGAAACCGGACCTCTGCACTCAATAGCGCGACACACATTCACTAGCCCTACAATGGTCAGAGTAAAGTTCTCACTATTATTTTCCTTCCTTTTATTATCACTTTATAACTGTTTATTGATAATACTATGTTTTTATCTAGATTTTATAAAACCACTTTATCGTATTTCCACTAGGTCCTATCCACTCTACACAATTACATTGATTAGTCACTTTCTCACACTTATCACATCACGCCAACTTCTGCCTCTTTTCTAACTTCTAGTTAGTCACCTAATCTAGGTTGTACCTGACATTATGTAATACGTTTTTCGAGGAAAAATTTTACCAGTATCTGATTGGTCTTAAGATTTCTTTGTTAAATATAATTACGAATGTACAGCATAAGAAAATGAATTGTTGAAAAGAAAATTTTCCTCTCCGTTTACTTCTTTTACTTAAGATGCGTTATGCATTACACTTCGTTATCAATTCACCATTATTAAGTGTTGAACATCACTATCGGTTTCATTACTTTCCAGTAACATATAACAGTGAAATGACTAGCATCTGAAGTGTGAGGACAGTAGGTGCCGATGGTCCTGGAAGGAAGAGATTGTAAATAATGAACCACTGGCTAATAACTTAATTATCGATAAAATTATCTCTTAATCGGACTAATGAGTGGGGATGGAATATTCAGAATCCTTGGGTTTTCAGCCAGTCCTCCAGTGATATGCATTTGCGAAGAAATCTCACCGTTCTTCAGTATTTTTAGGTGTGTTTCACTATAAAAATTATTCTAATCCATAATTCTTGCAAAGTCAAACAGATAATTTATAAGTAATATTTAAAAAATTCGATGAAATATTAAATATAACTTTGTGAAAATCATGAATAGTGTAGCATTGAAACAAATTCGGAATGGGCGAACTACACGGTTTCCTTGGCAAACCAAAATTATTCAGATCGTAATATGTGATCTTTTTGATACTGTGAAGAGTGATCAAGGAAGCAAACATAAGTGAACAACGCTATATACTACTAATTGACTGATATTATTTATTGATTCAGCCCTTTAAGCCTAGTCAAACAAGCTACACCGCTGATGAGCTTGACCCCAACCTAGCGAAACAGCCATTCAATGTTCAGATTACTTCGATCTGTCTAGCAAACACTACTGTTTGATGTACATGACATCCAGTTACTCAAAGCAATCAATCAGCGATACATAGCTCTGTGCAACATTGTCAGACAGCCAGTAAATGAAAAGAATAATGTGCCTGTTTAAGAGTGCAACAGCAGGGAATATGTAAGTCAATTGTCTACTCACTTTTGTACTTTCAGAATGTAGTTTTTAGGGATTTGATTTGTTCCGAATCTCAAGACGATTTAGCAACACATAGAGAACCATTGAGAACCACCAAGAAGTATTAGATAGCTGTTTTGACTTGGTTTGGGACTCTTCACCAGTACACACCCACAAGGGTTCAAACCAAGGACTTTTGGATTGCAAGTCATGCTCGTAGATCATTCAAACACTGGGGAATAAGTGTACGAACTATCTATGAATTTGACGATAGTGGCTAATGGTCGTCCTAAAGTCAAAATTTCGAATTCACAGTCCATTAGATCAAGTCCCAGTGACTGACTGATCTACAGGCTTGACCTGTAGCTCGAAAGTACTTGGTTCTAACCGCAGTAGATAGAATCTAATGAGAAATCCCAAGCTAGGACGGAATAGCTGTTCATACTTCATGGTTTTTAAGTGGTTCCCCATGTGGTGTACAAGAAGTCAAGGGAAATCTAATCATTATGCGACACTATTGCGTTATATACCAAAAATGAGTTTTAATCTAGGCACAGATACTAAAACTAACGCAAACAAAATGTTAAATGATTTACACTCACGTGTTTCTATCTCTGAATCTGTTTTGTTTTGAACAGAATCGAAGAAATATCAAAATGGCTACAAGACAGCATAAAAGAATAGCACCTAATCCCAGTATACCCATTAGAATCCGAAAACGATTTGACGTATAAACCAGCTTTATTGTTTGAGAATGATTTGATGTAGTCGACAGCTCTTTTGACGCAGTATCCATAAGCAGTGGACTGTAGGTAGTCATTCCTGTGAATTATTTTAAAAGGAAAAAAGTAAATTCTCATTGGTGAATAAAATGGGTTTTACTCATGATGAGGGATCAACACGAGCGAATAAATCTCCACCATTAGAAAAAATTTTAAGCCGTATCACTAGTTGTCTCCGGCTGTTTGATCCTGGAAACTGGAGTTTGCACCTTCTTAAGTGGCTCAGGCTAACTGTTAAAGATTTCATGGTCTGATTCCACGTTTTGGTTTCACTATCACCATCCCCTTTTCAACCTGATTCTATGTCAGCTAAAAAATGCCAGTCAATCAAGGCGACGACTGGCTTAACATATATCCAGAAACTTTGACATGAGTTGGTGACGCAGACACGAAAAGCATTTCAAATTTAACATTTCTTGCGGTTTTTGCAGCAAGTGAGGACAGGAGTAAGACAAGCTGGCTGCCTACTATCGCCAATGATTTTCCTGATTGCAGTAGATTGGATAATGTGACAAACAGCGGGCAATCAGGAAACAGGCATAAAATGGACTCACACAAAAAACTTGGAGGATCTGGACTTCACCGATGATACATGTCTGATCTCCCACAAGCTGGAAGATATGCAAGCGAAAAGCAACAAGTTGGCAGAACAAGCATCAAAGATAGGACCTCCTTCAGGTGAACATAGATAAAACAGAGGTGATGAAGATTTCTGGCCAACAACAACAACAATCAGCATAAATGGGAGGAACCTGAAAGAAACAACCTCCTTTCCCTACCTGGGAAGCATCGTTTCAACTACAGGCAGAACTGACGAGGATATTGAAGCAAGGATCGGAAAAGCAAGACAAGCTTTCATCACTCTCAAGTCTGTGTGGAGGTCAACAGCACTCAGCATCAAAATCAGAATAAGATCCGGATTTTCAACTCCAATGTGAAGTCAGTCAGTGCTACTATACGGATCAGAGACTTGCACTGCGCGTCATAAAGAGCATCTCAAACAAACTACAAACCTTCATTAACAGTTGTCTTCGCTCAATACTCAAGATCAGATGGCCGGCCAGAAAAGATCAGCAACAGGGATCTCTGGGAGCGAACCAACCCAGCAGGAACCGATTGTGCAACAAATAGGCAGGAAGAAATGGAGATGGATTGGCTGGTCATACTCTGAGGAAACCATCAAGTGACATCACTAGACAAGCCATTGCTCGAGTGGAACCCGAAAGGGAAGCGGCGAGTTGGTTATCAGTGCAAGGGTGACTTGGAGGAGATCATGTGAAGAGGAGATGAAAACGTGTTGGCAGACTTGGAGCCAGGTGAAGACTCTAGCAGAGAACCGAACGCAGTGGAGACGCGTGGCTGAAGCCGTTTGTTCCTCTAGGAATTAAAGGAAACAATAATAAACAATGTCTTGCGGTGTATACCACGCTTTCATATTGTGCTTCGCTGTCCATAAATCAGTCAACTACAAAAAAAGGCGAAAGCCAGAAGGATTTCATGACTAGTCATACATTCGACTTGCGAATAGTCACTTCGGACAATAAGAGATGATATTAATAACACGCTGAAATTATTAGTTTAACTTTAGATCATAATTATCCGCGTTAAGCTGCGTGATGAGAAAGCCTCAATAATCACTTTAACGGTCAATACTTCTGTCTGTATCTTTGTGACAGGAATTCAATAAACTGCTTTAGGCCACCAAAATACGACTCAAAGAAACGATTGATTGCTTGTTCTTATTGTGGGATAAAATTTTGCTGAATCGAATATCCTAAATTTGACACTCTATATAAACTAAAATTATTTCAAATTTTCAAAAGTGAAAATGCCAACCCATTAGGGGGAAAAATGATATATCACAAGATATAAACACATAAGCTTGTGTATTGCCAATGTAAATTCATTATTGCAACTTTCTCAATAAGTAACAGAAATGAATGATTACCTCAAAAACCAAACCCGATAGAGTCGTATTATTCATTTTGTCTGATTAAAATCTGTTGTTTTCAATCAAAATATTCACAAATAACATTCAAGCTAACAAGTTAACTGAACGATCATATCAGTGTCCGAGAGGTAGTATGTAGGGATTTGAATGATGTCATGTTCGATCACTGATTGATTTCAACTGGAGAACTGCTAAATACTAAGAAGGACTGAACGAGTGTTTCGTCCCAGTTTTGGACTTATCAAATTCGAAAACACACTCGCTTTCACGTCCAGGATCTCCCAGTTACGGTGAGAGCGCGTAGACCATTAAGCCACTGAGATACGATTCAATGGACAATAATTTACAACTTCTACAAATTCGTGATTTTGGCGTGACCACCAGCCAATGTTTTTGGCAAGTATTTATTCTCACTCTCGACCTGGTGGTGGACCACACTGGTCACGGATTCTCACTAAAACTCGATGAAACTTTGTCCTGAAGCCAGTGAGTCACTAGCGAGCTTCAGATTAATTTTGAAGAGTCAGTTTGAAGGGATCTGATTTGTTTGAAGTCTGATCAAGGAGTGATACAAGTTAGTGAACGATTGAAAATCGCTGTTTCTTAGTGGTTCGGGAAGTCCGGGGCTCCAGCCCTGGTGGTTGTGTGCTGATGAAGATTCCTAGACTGAGACGAAGTAACTGCCCAATACTTCCTGATTTTTCAGTGGTTCTGTGATTTACATTAATCCATGATCCTACTTGAGACCATATCAGTGACTGACCACTTTGATATATCTTGATAATATGCATGCTTGTTTCTGTGTCTCCGTGAATGAACTAGTTATTGATGTGATGAAAGTCTATACGACCTATGTTATACTATATTCACCAAATCATAGCACCCATGTTGTAGAAATAATATACTTTAGCCGACTCAGTGACACTTTGACTGAGGCCGAATAAGCAATGAATTATCAAAGTGTTAATGGAAAGAATACACTTAACCGTAGAATGTTAAGGACCGTGGCTGAACATCATAATACGGACCATATTATAATAACAATAAGGAGAAGAAGCTGTGGTATCCCATTCAAAGGAAAACTCAAAATACGAATTCAATCCGAACAGAATATTCATCTTAATTGACTGAAACTCTTGAGCAGTAAAAAAGATTAAAATATATACAGCACAAGAATTACAACGCATATTCGCTTCCAGCCTATGCTAGCGAACTTTGGTATGTTCATAGCGGTTTCGCAGTTTTTAATTAAAGATAAATCTAGCACGGACGATGAACTATGCATCCAACAGAATGACTATTCAAAGATCTCATTTCGTTTTGTGTTTGTGAATTGACTGAAGTTTTAACCTACAAACCGATGTCATTCTGCATCGTCAACTTGTGGAAACCTCACCGTTTTCATTTTAAGTTGGGAATAATAGCTATAAGAAAACATTTTTCGATAGGTTTCATCACACACCGAACCATAGTCCTACCAGTGTGAGCACTACTGAACAGTTCCAAAACTAAAACGAAACAGATAATGCAATACTTCCTGGATTTCAACAGGTTCCCTAATTGATATTACTTCGTGGCGAAACACTTCAAAATCAGTTAAATCTCCGAATATCCAGCCCTGGTAAACAGCTGCCCATAAAATACCACTTTGTCACAAGGCATTAATACACGGAGTTAATGCTTAATATTTCTCAAAACCTTAAAATTAACCTTCCACCCAAAGTTAAATAAAAAATATAAAATAAGCAAGTTATACGTCAACCTTATTGTTTGAACGAGATGGAATTTAGTGGTAAAAGAAAGCTGTTCTTTCAACCAAACCTAATTTAGTTATTGTAAGAAAATTTTTCAGGCATTTAAACTGTTTTCATAATGTTTTGACAGTCAGTTACTCCTACCTACCAACAACTACTACTACAACTCACTTACGTAAATTTTCTAATCAGAACCAAATTATCTCATATTGTTATTACTGTTATAGTTAGTACATATAATTTATGAAGAGGTTTGTTTACATTCGACAGTTTGGTAACTTCATTATCTTCAAAAATGATGTAGTGTTATGGTTGGATGGATAGATAGATAGATAGCTAGATAGTGTCAAAAGTGTTAAGCATGATGGATATGAAAACAAAATGAAAAAATCACTAATATTTCTCTAGTTTGTTTAACTTTAAGTTTTATGAAAGAAAATATTCTAGCAAAATATGGATTTCCTCTTTTCAAATAAACTTGAGTTCGAAATGCAAGTTTGATAAGAAGATATCCCATCTATTATCATTATTATTCCCTTGGGTTCCAACTAGAACATAAGGCTTCAGCAGGACATTCCTATTTTGTCCTGTTCTCTGTAGTCTCTGTCAGATGTCCTCGCGGTTTTCCGTAGGCTGTCATCTCCCCCTCACACTTAGATACATGCCCCACTCGTCCTTTCTCATTGTGATTCCACTCAAGCCGTGGAATGGCATACGTTTTCACGTGACACTCTCCTTAGTGTTTGTACAATCCATCTCTACTTTCTTCGGAATATTTTCTTCTTCATCAATAGGTTTTTTCCTGATTCATTCCCAGAGTTTACTGGGTGATAATTCCTTCTGGCCTGCGATCTGATCTTCAGTATAGAGCTAGCGAAGTCAGCTATCGATAAAAGTTGGAGAAATGCTTTCTGTGACGCTCAGGCTAAATTTCTGACTAATGTGGAAGAACTGACTGACTTAATATTTCTGTTAAAAATCCAAATTTTGTTGTTTATGTTGAGTACACCGCAGGAGATTTCCAAACTGATTTTAGAGTGATGAAGGTCTGCCTTGACTTTCCTATCCTGGATGTTTTTGGCATCAGCATCCGTGCTGTCTACCTGTAGCTGAAACGATAAGTGAAAGAAGTGACCTTGATATAAGAATAAAACTTGGGCACTGTGGTAGAGTGTAATTCCATTATGGGTAAATTTTTATTTTGATAGAGTCTCACAGTGTTATACAGTAATATTTACTGATGACGTTTCGAGCACAAACTATTGCTCATAATCATATCAAGTTACTCACACAACTTCTTTCCTTCATTTATATACATGTGTGGAATCGACTAGATATTGGATTAAAATTCAATATGAGATAATGTACATTCAGAAATAATAGTACGAGTGTTATTAATCCATTGCAATTAGATGGGAATACGACGAGTGTCTTTTACAGTCATAATAAGTTGATTGTTAGAATGTTATGATGTGCTTGAATGGAAATAGAATTTTAAGACTATTTATCTTCTTCTGATTTGACTGGCGGTAATAATATCTTCCATATTTCTGGTATTTGCATTGAGTCATTTCTGTTGCATGTGTTGGGTGTAGATTCGATGAACAAAGATTCAGTAATCAACCTCTCTCTCCACCTACCTAGATTACTTTTTAGAATTTTAACCCTCTCCCACCCTATTGTGTGGTTGTGTGTTAATGCATGCATTGCGATGGCCGAGCTTTTTTCTAAATTACTTATCTTCTCTGGGTCAACCATTCTTATCTTAGCTAAATTCTTATGTTCTGACAATCTGACTACCCCTGACCGACTAGTTTGACCTATGTAGTTGACCTCACAGTCATTGCAAGGTATTTTGTAAATTATATTATTTTGTCTAATTTTGCCCAGTGGACCCAATTAGACAAAATAATATAATTTACAAAATACCTTGCAATGACTGTGAGGTCAACTACATAGGTCAAACTAGTCGGTCAGGGGTAGTCAGATTGTCAGAACATAAGAATTTAGCTAAGATAAGAATGGTTGACCCAGAGAAGATAAGTAATTTAGAAAAAAGCTCGGCCATCGCAATGCATGCATTAACACACAACCACACAATAGGGTGGGAGAGGGTTAAAATTCTAAAAAGTAATCTAGGTAGGTGGAGAGAGAGGTTGATTACTGAATCTTTGTTCATCGAATCTACACCCAACACATGCAACAGAAGTGACTCAATGCAAATACCAGAAATATGGAAGATATTATTACCGCCAGTCAAATCAGAAGAAGATAAATAGTCTTAAAATTCTATTTCCATTCAAGCACATCATAACATTCTAACAATCAACTTATTATGACTGTAAAAGACACTCGTCGTATTCCCATCTAATTGCAATGGATTAATAACACTCGTATTATTGCCACCAGTCAAATCAGAAGAGGATAATAAATAATCTATTTCCATTCAAACACATTCTAACAATCAATTTATTATGACTATAAAAACACTCGTCGTATTTCCCATCTCATTGCAATGGATTAATAACACTCGTACTATTATTTCTGAATGTACATTATCTCATATTGAATTTTAATCCAATATCTAGTCGATTCCACACATGTATATAAATGAAGGAAAGAAGTTGTGTGATTACCGTGATATGATTATGAGCAATAAATTGTGCTCGAAACGTCATCAGTAAATATTACTGTATAACACTGTGAGACTCTATCAAAATAAAAATTTACCCATAATGGAAAGAAGTGACCTCTTTCGAATTCCGTCCGTCAATAGTAATGCGTGCATACTGTAGGTGGTGCTTGCTTATCGTCATCACCTACATCTTCTCTATGCTAACTCGAAGTCCTGTCGTCTATGCCCGCCTCTTCTGCCAACTTGTTGATTTTCTCCTGTAATTCTTCAAGTTTGTGTGACATTAGAAATAAAATTTCCATGAAATCCAGATCTTCTAGAATCTTCTTTTGGGTCCAGTGAATTCCTGTCTTCTCGCTCTCCAAGAAGGGTCTTCCGCACAGTCTAGTCCACCAAAATTAAAAATATCGTCTATCGTATCAAACAGTCTTGTCTTACACCCATCTTCACTTCAGCGGCTTCCCTGAGTTTTCCAGTGTGGATCACTTGACACGTGCCACTGTTATCCAGCCGCACTATTCCCCCTTTTCATAGCGTGGAGATTCCTCATATCATAATGGTTTCAAATCTCGAATAGTTCACAGAGGCTATTTATGATTCAAACAAACTATTTTGAAATAATATAAATATCTCTTGAAGAGTGAATGACTTTCATTTCAGTCAATTTACTCCTTACAAGTACTAATTAACTGACTATTCTACTTGATTTTTCATACGTGTACTATAGTTATATTCCAATACCAAACAACACAATATGGAAACGAGTGGGCTGTTGGGTAGTTTATTACAGGAGACAACAATTGGCGTAACATTATTTTTCTTATTCAAAAATGTTACATATGGTTGTTATAGTAAAGCTACTTTTTTCCACTTACTTTTTTCGCCATTTTCTTCATTCATATTTGAATAGTAATACACCGACTTTTTAAATATTCCCCATCCAATACTTAGACGTGGTCTTACCTGAAACAGAGAGAACTCACTTACTAAACATGGAAGTTTTTATTTCAAGCTAAATTTTATGAGATTTAGTCATCGGATGATAATTCATGTAACTAGCTACTTTGAAATACATGTCTAAATCTTTGGGTTATTTTTTGCAATTCGGTCACTAATATATCTAACAGGAGAGTACTATAGAGTTTATTGCACTTTCATTTGAGAATCAAGTAAGTCAAACATGTTTTGAGAGGCAATTTAAACACTTTAACGAAGTAAACCAAAAAAATTGGGATACGCTGGGTACTAGATTAGTCTGCAGAAAAGTGGACACAAAGAACGTCTTCGTGGAAAGTGGGTATGGAATGAAATCATAACGAACGTTCCGTGCTCCTAGTAACCTATCAAGTGAAACTTTACTAACTTTCCTATCACTAGTTCAGGCGGTAGTCGTGAATACTAAAAGACATAATCTCTGTATCCAGAAGGAGTGTGTCTATTCGCTTTATCCATCTTCACCCAGAATAAAGTCAACAACTCCTCTTTAAATATTATTAATTAACATGCATATACCAGTTCACTTGCTCTTGTGGAGCTGAGTACATCGACCGTACCATGCGCCGACTTGAAAAACGCGCTCGTGAACACTACCAGCCTGGCTGGTAAAAGGAGAGCAAAAACGTGTAAACAGTTCAGTGACAGAACATCTGGTCAACTCAGGACATTCAGCGCCTTTCGAAAAGTCCTTCAAAGTAATATACAAGATTCAATCAAACCTATCAAAGGGAGTGAAATCAAGACATCTGGGCATAGCTGAGGCGTTAGCTATCCAAAAACTCAAACCCACCCTTTGTATCCAAAAGAAATACATTCAACCCCTGTCCCTGCCATGGCCATCGTAAACAGGTAAATTTTTTAATAACGACCATCCCATCGCCTTTCTTATCTAAACTTCCTGTTTATTCATGTTATTTTAAGTTTTCTTAATCCCTGTCTACACTACCATATTTTCATATCCACACTTCCTGTTTATTTTGTCATTTTATTATTTCTACATAATTAATCCCTGATTGCATAAACAAATATTCATCACATTAGTTTTTATCCAAACATCCTGTATATTTTATTATTTTTACATTTCTAACCCGCAATTGCACAATGTCAATTTTCTTAGTTATTATGCTACTTTGTTTGAGTTTTACCCATCCCCCTGTTTATTATGGCATTCTAATTCCTAATAGTAATTTTTTATTAATTCAACCCCTAACCAGAAATTGTTCTGGAACTTTCCCATCCATTTGATATAAATACACGAATGTACAGCCTAGATGATGACTTCGTCGAAAAGAAAATTTTCTTCGCTGCAACTGTCTTTTTATTCCCTATTAATAATTAACACATGTGACTCAGTGGCACAGCGGTAGAATGCTCACCAACCACGCATGTGATTCGGAGTTCAGTCCCCGAACGCCGATGCACTCCTTTACCTAATTAGGCCAGTAATAAGACTGGCAAACAGGGAAGGTTGAGCATGAGGCCAGCAGCCTCCAGCTTGAAGCCTTTTGTTTCACTGGGAAAGTAGAGGAACAAAATTAATAAATACATAAAACCCTTTTCCCATTCTTTTTCTTACTTCTCTTGTTCCACTGGCAGGCTTTTAATACAGGCCTTTTACAATTTCATGACGTTTCATATTAGCTCTATTACCCCAGATTTATGCAATACATTTTTAAATTTGTCACTGTATTCATCCAACTCTTTCCTTTCCATTTTTTAAAATTCTCCCTTACCTAATAATTCTCCACTAATTGTACTTCTCTATATATACTGCACCACTGTCATTATTTTATCCGTTAATTTTCACCCCTGTAATGACGTTCAGAGTAGACCATTTGTTCAATTGTTTCCTTTTAGTATCTGCGTTGTCTTCCACACCCATGATTACAACTCACCCCTCGAAAACTATGCTTTTTTATTGATTATAAATACTCAAACACGTGATTCTGGTTTATTTTATCTCGTTTTACTCCATGCTTTTGCTGACTAAATTACATACATTATACTTTTATTTAGATGCTAATCAAAACTTACTGGCTATTACGTCGTCATGTGCTTGTATCACAATACACTTTCTGACATAATTCAAATTTTTAATTTTACTGGCTATTGCATGCTGACACTGATGGATTGATAACTGTGGAACCTGAAGAGATATTTGCTGAAGGCAGCAGTTGTTCACTGTAAATATACTTTCTGTAAATAAATTCAGGGGGTATTTCCACATGCTTTTTATTTAACCTGAAGTTCTTCATTTAAAATATGGTATTTTATTGGTTTATATGCTTATTATTATTCAAGACATGTGCAGTAATTCACTGTAATAGATAATCTCGTTTTGTGTTATCAAGGCACAGTGTATCAAAATTATCGAAATAAGTATTAAACAAACGGTTGATGGCGTTTCAGGCATTTTAATCACTTTCGAAGATTAGGCGATTTATGTCACATGTAATCTGAATTAGTAAGTATTCTCAAGAGTCAGTTTGTATGCTTTTGATCTATTTCAAGTTTCATCATAGGTTGATATCAGTTAGAGAAGCAGTGGAAACCAGGTGGAAGTGTTGGACAGCTGTTTTGTTCTGGTGTGGGACTCATCAGCAGCATGAGCCCACCGGGTTCAGACTTAAGACCTCCCGGTAACAAGGCGAGCTCATAGACCATTTACCCTCTGGAATGTGACTTACTGGTCCATGAATTCTGATACTTACTAGTTACTGCCTACATGGCATGTGTTCAAGCAAGAATTCGTGACCCGTGGGTTCTGCCTGTTTGGGATTGAGGAAACAATCCTCGCGACGACATTGGCTTGTGGTCGCGGTAAAATCATGAATCGGTATAAGTTAGGATTCATGTGCTGTCCATTGAATCGGGTATCGGTGATAGAATGGCGTACGAGTTTGACTTGTAATGTGCAGGTCCTGAGTTCGAACTCCGATGGGTGCGTACTGAAGATAAGTCGGAAGCTGGAACTAAATAACTGGATATTACTCCTGATTTACAATAATTCTCTAACTGAAGTAGGTATTCAATCCGCTTTCACTTAAATCAGAGTATTACTCGATAGTGCTGGTAGTCACCTTGAATCAAAAAGCATTTTATCGATAAATCTTGTAAATGGAAATGACTATTTTACACCCTTCGAACTCTTCCCTACTGAAGGATAACTAACTTTTGTGTGGTTAAAATAATAACCCATTAGTACACATAAGATTATGATGAATACAGTAGTTGGTATATCTCCAAGGGTATTTCAAAAGAGACATAATCAAGTTTAAAATTCGAAGCTTCTAGGTGTACTTTAATGCAACATACCCAAATTCCTAAAGCTCCAGGCTGGGGTAGATCAGTTAAGAAAATGGAAGTCTCTGACAGAAAATGTGTTAGCGCTGGTTTACTTTCATAATAAGTGTCCTCGAATTCCATCACCGTTGAACTTATCCATACGTGGACTTGATATTCGATTACAGGAAAATCACCATCTTGTTGATTTGTCTGAAATCGAAATTAAACAGTTTGGTAAAAAAAACGATTGTGTTCAGTAACATTTTATGGGGGAAGTTTTTATGTGTTAATTTTAAATAGAATTACACTACACTTTGGTGATGTGTGTAATTGCATAACCAACATATTTATCTGGTTTAGTACACAGTGGTATCAGTGTCATCTACTTGATGAGGCTCCAATCAAACTTATTACTCAAAATCATTTCAACAGCATAATGATAAACTGACATCACTGTTTGAATTATTGGTTTCATTATTCCAATACGTCTTGAAGGAACCTGTGTCCTTTGTGGGATTTGAACTTTCATGACTTAGTGCTGCAGTCAGAGACGTTACCAATCAGCTATTTGGGCTCTATAGTTCAGTGGTAGGACGCGATCAACCAAGTTAAGTGGTCCGAGGTCCAATCTCCGGTTGACTCACTCCTTTACCTCGCTTATCCGATAGTGAGCCCGGTAAAGAAGGAAGGCTGGGCATGAGGCTAGCCACTCTATCCTGTAAAAAACTCACCGCAACTGAAACTTCTAGACTCTAGCGTGAAGTCCTATGTTCCACTGGGGAACTCAAAGGAATAAAATAAGTAATAATAATAATCCATTACGAAATTAAGCCTACAACTTCCTGCTGATAATATTGTAAGAAGAATAACTAAAATATTAGACTGAACAAATTCATATATATCACCTCGTTAATCTGCATTTTTTAAGAGTGCTAAGCAGTAATAAAAGCGAAAATTTGTGAATTTAAAGTAATCATTGACAAATTATTGATTTTCTAGAAATATGTTATTGTAATTTGACTATGAAGGAATTAGAAGGCTTGTTTTGAACGGATAAATAAAGATGAAGAGGTTTGTAACAACCCGCCTTGTCTGTTCTTACTATGCTTATAAAACTGAGCACATTTAAGGCAAGTTACAAATTGTTGAGTCGGAAGTACCGCAGCAAACAAACGTTTAGACACATTAAACTAGATGCTAACTAGTGTCCATCAAAAATATCCAGAACAGTGCGACAGGATGTCAATATCGAGCCCAAATGTCTTGCAGATAAGTCTTGCTGACTGGTGAGTGCGAACAAGCACAAAACCTAGGTGGAAGGCATGCTTCCTATTTCCTCCAAACGTCTAATATCAAGGTTTCGAAACCTTAAACCGTACGACGATGACAGGAGGAGATAGTGAAAGAATCTATTCGGAACTCTGATTTCAGAATTTCCTGTTTTTACAGCTACGATTTCCGTAATACATACAAGATTTACACAAACTGGCTTTGACTGATTTTAATTCCTGAGGAAGAAGCTTCTGAACTTCAAAGACGCACGATGACAAAATAACCACTCATCAGTATTCTTATAAGATAATGGATAACTTTGTACAACCAGTTGAAGTAGTATTATTAAATCATTCAGAACAGGAACTGTGTCCAATAATGTATCTGCATTCATGAAACATAATTGCATATTATCGTGTGTGTAATGTCTTGAAACTGATACTCTTTTTATCTTATATCTTTCAGTATTTTCCTGCATTTTCCTGTGACTTTCGGTATAATAGGAGAGCTAATGGAAACCTTTCACTCCAAGATATAGTACAGCATAGATCACTCAGTAATTCGATGCAAAAAGTAGAAACTTCACTGCTTAGCAGATAGAATTTCCGTGAAATATTTTTAGTCGTAAAACTAACCATTATTTTGCTTATGGTCGATGATTATTTCCATGAAACAGACATAACTCTTCTGTACAGTTTGATAAAATGATAATGACTGTTGATAGGATAATGGTGATACATCTTATTAAACATAATTTTGTGTATCATCCTGAGGATTTATTGCTTCTATCTGATTCTTTTTGTCCCTGTCTCAGAGAATACACGATGAATAATAATAATAAAAATGATAGCTTTCATTGCCTTACTAGACAATATCCTCAGCGTATACTTCAATCCCAAAAAGGGAAAATCTTGCTTCAGATTGAAGTATGCCCTGAGGTTGCTGCTTAGTAAGGCAATGAAAGTCTGGCATTTAAACCCTCGTGCTCAGTGAACATAGCTAAACCGAAATCACCCAAATGAGTTACAAACCTTCTCTATTATATCCAAATAATAGCTTCATTATGAATTTTCAGGTTGGTATTGCCTACTCCTTATACAGAACCTTCAAGTAAAGCAATATTCTACGGTATGTAGTTCGACGTGATTTCGTTTTATCTGCAGCATGTCCTGAATTCCCTAACGTAATTTTCTCTTCAAAACAGAGCAAGCGGTATGGTGAATGCCGCTGAAGTATGCAAGCGACTATAGATTATCGTTCAGGGACTTAAAAAAGTGGTTAAAACAAAGTATATCTGAGGAAATTTGATGTTTGATGCTCTGTAGAAAGCTAGGTAGCTCAGTGATTTAAGTAGGCCTCTGATGACTGAGTTTCTGGCTGAAAATAATGACATCTTTATTCTGGACAGTATTTATAAAATGTTCAGAGGAGTTCATTGCATGATATTCTCCCATCGTACAATGTCTTCAAGTAAAATAAAAACTGACAGTAGATCCTGTGACATAGTGGTCTCTAAGCCGAAACACAAACCATTCCATTACGCTATATCTGCTTTGTCTCCTTCAATAAATCCACAATATCTGATTAAAAGCCAATTGCGAGATGCTCAGAAGTACATTGTGAGACCCAAGGACATAACTGAAGAACATTTATCTCATGTATGGGGACATGTCACCAAGCGCAATCAGGCCTTACCTCAAATTCTAGTAGGAACTTGAGAATCAGAAGCTTCTAAACATTTTAAATACACACGAGTAAATAATGCCACACGACATCATATATATTGATCCGTAAAAACAAACCGAAGGAGGGGAAGTATATGCAAAGGAGAAATGGAAGCTTTCGGTAGCCCAAGTTTTAATCAGGCCGCCAGTGGAGTGTTTCGGTAGCTTTTGCTTCAGTAACAGTGGCTGGGAGTTACACGTAATCATAGAAGCTGTATTCTGCTTTAAATTATAAATATTTCTCAAATACTACTTAAATAACCTTTAGTTACAGTCCTCAAATTTACCACCATTAGTTGAATCAGTAATTTGGATCGAAAAACACCATAATTTGTCACAGTAAACTGATGAACTTACCTGTAGTTCACCGGACGTCAAAGAGTTGTATTCTGATTGTGGTATCTGGATAAATGATTTACTCAACAGAAATTGAGGCGGTTCCCATGAGAATTCGTATACTTTTTCAATAGAGTTTTTTCTGGTACTGTCTGATAATAGTTTTGAGTCAATTGAAAGTTGATGAGCTGCCGATTTATTGCCTTTCCAGTGTTTGACTTCATTAAAGTAAACATTTCCAACTGAAATATTTACTGAGTTCATATTTGAAACATTACAGGAATGGAATGGAAAATAAGAATAAGGCAAATTATAAGAAAGTTAAAAGTTGCATTCAAGGTTGAAATGCATTTCACTTGAATGTGTAAAACAAATTACACTTATGTTGAAAAGCTATCTGAAAGTAAGCAAAATGCGTCCAGGTTTGAAAACTGCCCCTAACTTGCACAAAATAAAAATGTTTCACTTTGAATATCCGGTAACAGCTTTCAACTTCAATAAATGATCAGTACCAAGGTTGTTTCTACAACTGAAGACTCAGTAAAGCCTTCAAAGTGAGGACGAGAGTGAACAAAGGCTCCCTGCTATCACAGATGATATTCCTAACTGAGGTGAACTGGATTGTACGGAACACAATACGTGGAGAGTGAGAAGACAGGAAGACTATTAAGACAGACTATTAAGAAGACTGTGGAAGATCTAGACTTCTCAGATGATTAATCCCTGATTTCACATAAGCTCGAGGAAGTAGAATGGATGAAAACCAGCCAGTTGTCAGAAGACCTAGGAGGCTGAGACACGACCACTAATGAACGTAGAAAAGACGAAGGTGATGAAGATAACCGACCACCACAAACACTTAGTACCAACCACTACCAACAAGGGAAGTTTGAAAGAGTTCACATACGTCATTTACCTAGACAGCATCGTTTCAGCTGCAGACATTAGAATGGATACGGTCGTTCAAATCGGGATCGGAAAGGCAAGACAGAACTACACCACTCTGAAATCAGTTTCGAATTTTTTCTGAACAAAGTCTGGAGTTTCAACACCAATGTCAGGTCAGTCAATTTTCCTAAATTGCTCCGAAACTTGGCCTGAGCGTCAAGAAATGCATTTTCAACGGATGGCTGTAAACTTCAATCAACAGTTGCCTTCGCTCCATATTGCAGATGAAATGTCCGTAGAGAATTAGCAACAAGAAACTGTGTGAATAAACCAGTCAAAAACCTAATACTCAATAGATTTGCCGGAGGAAGTGGAGGTGGATCGGACGCACTCTAAGGAGACCGTTGGATACCATCTCGCGCAATGGCATCAGCTGGGTGAAGAATGGATGGAAAACGATTAGTTTGGCGTGAATCGGAGTGTGACATGGAGGAGATCGTAATAGGAGGGTATGAAAACATACATGTAATCTCGGAGCCTGATGAAGAGGACTTCAGAGAACAGGAGAAATTGGAGATTTTCTGTTGAATCCCCATGATCCACTCCGAACCCAAGGGGATCAAAGCTGTTGTGTGACAGTTATTATTAATACAACTATCAAAGTGTAGTTCACTCCTTTTGTCTTATATCTATGTTACTTTAAATTCAGTGCTTTTGTGCTGACATTCAAACGAGAAAAAATTTGACATCAAACCCAACTCTGTAGCTTACTAACTCTTCTTTATACAACGCTTACTTCCCAAATGTGATATGCCATACAATTCAGAAATTGTGAATTACATCTACCTGACCATTGCCCATAAGATTCATAACCATATTTATTATTAAGAATGCATGGGTCAGCAAAGAGATCTCTTCTGTTCGTGACTTCACTTCGAAGCTCTGCAGCTACTTAAGGGTTATATATATATATATATATATATATATATGTACATATATATATATATATGCATAATGTTAATAACAGAGGAAATCAAAGTGCATGAATAATAATAATCATCTTTGAAAAATAGAGAATACTTCTACTTAATCAAGAAGGTTGACAGTTAATTATTTGAATGATGAATAACCGTCTGAAAGTAGGTGATAAGGGACAAGAGAACAAGGACTGAAAATGAGTTGCAGAAAGTATGAAGCGGACTGTACACAGCCCATTATACAATTTTCAAGTATTGGTTTTGTAGGGATTTTGTTTGATTGCATGGAGGATTTCATCATGAGCTGACATCAGTTAGAGAACCACTAGAAAACCTGGGAGTACTGGACAGCTGTTTCGTCCTAGTTCGGGACTCTTCAGCACTGGTTACAGGGCGAGCTCGTAGACCATTGAGCCACTGGGACCCGATCCAATGGTCCTTGAATTCTAACTTCTGCCAATCCACGACATAGCGCGACCATTTCGCAATGTCTTCTTCGATGAGTTACTGCCTCATCTTCAACCTGCTGCACCCTACTGGTCACGGCTTCTCTCTAGAACCCCAGGTTAACTGCCTGAATAGGGCTTAGTCCCAGTGGCTCAATGGTCTACGAGCTCGCCTTGTAACCAGAAGGTCCTGGTTTCGAATCCTGGTGGGTACATACTGCTGAAGGGTCCCAAACTAGGACAAAACAGTTACCTAGTACTCCTAGGTTTTCCAATGGTTCTTTAACTGATGTCAGCTCATGATGAAATCCTCCATGCTATTATACAATTAGTTATTCAGGAAAACAAAGAAGGAAGATAAAATAGTACTAAGGCCATGGTAATAAAAGAGACTGAGTAAAGCCTTTCTGAATGCAAAGTTCAATTTTCTCCTTAAGGAATGTTGTATGAAGAGCATTTGAGCGACGGTCTTTCGAAAGATTTGGTTGTATTTTATATATAACTATGAGAGAAGTCTCTGCAGATGCTGTTGTAACGACCCATATGCTCCCAAAAATAAACAGCACTATGAAGGAATCAGTTTGTGCTTCCAAAAAATAAATACCGTTTATGTACGATAGATAGATGGATACTCTGACTGGACACTAGTAACTAGTGTGATGTGTCTAGTTCTTTCTCTTTTGGTGCAGACTGAATTCTATCAGTCAGACTTGCAATGTGACCACCATTCTAGGTAGCTCGCCATCACGATGCGCATTGATTTGATGACTGGAGTCAATAGTTGGAGGCAATTAGCAGGAAGCCTTGCTTGATCTAGGTTTCATGCTAGTTGGCACTGGTCAGTAAGGCGTATCTGCAGCCTTGAAGGAACTCATATCACTTCTGATGAGTGCCAACTAGCACAAAACCTATGTCCAAGACTTCCAGCTGATTGCCTCCAACCATCTAATATCATCAGATAGATGGATGATTACGTTGGTCGATGCTTTCAAGTATCTCTATATACTTTATTCTCATAATTTAATTTTTTCTATCTATTATTGTTATTCTAAGGTCGATTACCAATTATCTTCGGGAATGAAAGGGATACTTTTCGAAATAAGGTCTGAAACATACAAACACATATAAAATCCTGCTTAATCCACTACGATATCAAAATATACTGAAAATCGCTAAGAGGTATACAGATGAAACATATTTATCGAAAGATATTCTTATTTCCACAATTAGGTCACTTTGCAGGCATTCACAAGAGGTATGAAGAAGAACGGAAAGAATGACTAGACTGGAGGCTAATCCATTTTATTGGATTACCTTTATCTCATAGAAATATTGATGTGTTACTTTTTACCTTTCTTACTCAAAACCACTTAATTTATTTTCACTTGCTCTATTATTATTAATATTATAGGCGTTTATTCTCTTTGATATGTATAACTTTTGTCAGGTCTGACATTTTTAGTTACTTAGGATAACTCTGTTTGTCATTTTAATATATATTTTTAAAATTTTTGAGCGGTCTATTTTACTGTCTGACTGTCGGTAAATATGTCAGCTCCTAGACAACCAGTAAGACTTGGACATTTACAAAAAATACATTTTGATGTTGAAGTCAAGAAATTTAAGTCTTACGTAAGAGGAGCAAGTCAGTCGGTTGTCATCGGTGTCACGTTCCTTACGTGAATGCATATATATATATATAAATATCAATAAATTTAATAAAATTGTTCTTTTTCTTAATATGCCTATATCTCACTCTGTACACGTGAAAATGGAAGAGGAGAATATTTAGTGGAGCATTACGTAGACGTATTTTATTCCTTTGCTTTTCCTTAGTTGTATAAGAAAGAAACTTTACATGAACCTGGATTCCAAGCGATACTGAACCTACTATATTGTTAAGAGAAGAATTACAGCATTGTTGAGAAGAGCATTCCTTGCGCTAACGCTAAGAATAGTGTTCTGCAGTCGTGCATAAAGTGCAAGATCTCTCATCTGCATACTTTTGTGTGCATATATCAGTTGACCTGTTCTTGTGAAGCCAGGTATACCAGTCGTTCGGCATTTGTTTAATGGGATTCAAAACATTATCCCGCATATTTGTAGAAAGGTAGTAGTGACTCAATAGATAGTGCTATAATTAAATACCATATCAACACTGGTCATTTCATCTTAGCTAACAAGTCCTTCAAGATGATCTACAAAGTGAAAAATAACTTGCCAAAGACAATTCACTTTAGTCTTCTTTGCATTGTTGAAGCCTTAGACATTCAGTTGGAGAAACCAGAACAATGCATACAAAAGAAAATGATTCGATCAGTTCTATGGTCATATTAACAAACTTGTTAATTTCTACTCAACTGATTTTGTTTGTTTGGTTTCCTAACTCCTCATAACAATTTGTTTTTCTGCAGGACTCGTAATTGATTCCATATTTTCCTCCGTTTCTATGTGCATCTTGACTACATCTCATTCATTAAGTTATTTGTCTTATTACGTAACTCTAATGCACTCATCCAGTGGCTGAATAGTATACGAGCTTGCCTTGTAACCTGGAGGTCCTGGGTTCGAAACCCAGTGGGTGCGTACTGCCGATGATTCCCGAGAACTAGGATGAAACAGCTGTCCACTACTCCCTGGTTTTGTGCGTCGGTGGCATAGCGGTTAGGAAGCTCGCCGACCATGCATATGGTCCGTGGTTCGATCCCCGGCCGCCGACGCACTCCTTTACCTAGCTAAGCCAGTAATAAGACTGGTAAAGAGGGAAGGTTAGGCATGAGGCTGACCAGCAACTCAATCTCATAAAAATAAACACTGCTACAGAAACTTCAATACTCTAGCTTGAAGCCCTATGTTCCACTGGGAACGTGAAGGAATAAAAAAAGGTGCACTCATCCACTTCCTCCTATGCACTGATTAATATCAACAGTTGTGATTGTAACAATTCATCGCTTTTGTTGCTAGCCACTTTCATGAAAGAACTGTATGTCAATGAGATTGTATAGCTAAAAAGGTACATGAATTCTCCGAAAACAGCTTCTTCACCGAATTAATTGTTTTGTTTACGTTAAGTCACATTACATTGAATTATAATGAGGTTGCAACATAGTTTGCTTATTATATTTCCACAGATATCATCTGATTAGTAAATAGTCGCAAACCATTAAAGTAGTAAAGTTTCTAAAAGTCCTTGAAATAAATTAAGACCGAGTTGTTGTAATGTCACTTCATTTATCGGTTAACCTATCATCCAGGCTTTGGATACTTCACAAACTTTACATAGTTGGTGTTTTGAGAGCATTATTCATCACTTAAGCCCGTTCACCGCCTATAAAACATGCCACATATCAAGAGATCCACAATGGAAAACCCATTGAAGCCGTTTAAGTGAAGGCAAGAGTAGGTAAAAGCTGCTTACTGTTACCGGTGGTATTACTAACTGTGGTGGACTGGATTATGCGACACACCGTATTTAGGGAGTGAGAAGACAGGAGTACACTGGACTAAAAAGAAGACACTAGAACATCTGGACTTCACAAACGATTTATGTCTAATATCACAAAAACTTGAAGACATACAGGAGAAAGTCAGAAAGTTGATGGAAGAAGCAGGCGAACATAGAGAAGACGGGGATGATGAAGATAACTAACCAACACCAACCAGTGTCAATGGGAGAAACGTGGAGGAAATCGCCTCTTTAACTCATCTAGGCACCAATGTTTCAGCTACAGGTGACAGGACGGATGAGGATGTCAAAACCTGGATTGGAAAGGCAAGAGAGACAGTCATCACTCTGAACTAATTTTGAAAATCTTTTGCACTGTATTCGGAATGAAGAGGAAAATTAGGATTTTCAACAACAGCGTTAAGTCAGTCAGCTCTGTATATGTCAGAAAAATGGCATAAGCGACACCGAAATCATTTCCAACCAACTGCTGCCTGCGCTTCATGATAAAAATAAGATGGCAAGCCGGGAGGAGGTGGTAACAAAAAACTCTGGTGACGAACAAATCAAGAACCTATTACCCAATGATATTTCGAAGAGAATATAGACGGATCGAACACGCACTTGTGAGAACACTGGATGACATCTCGCACTAGGCCATGGGAAACGACGAGTGAGGAGTGGGTTTGAGTGTGACATGGGAGAGACCGTGAAAGGAGGAGATGAGAGACTTTCGGGCAACTAGGGGGCCAGCTGAAGGAGACTGAAGAGAATAGGGCAAAATGGAGATTTAATATTGAAGGCCTATGCTCCACTGGGAACCCTATGGAATAGTGATAACCTGTTCTAGGTAATTAGTTAGGCTGATGAAGAGACACTGCTAAAATCTTGGCAGAAATACTTTATTTCTTTGGGATGCTTTCTTCACCATACACTTGGATTAAATCACTTAGCAAAAAGGTCAAGAAGTTACTTATTTATTTAAGAAATGATACTTGAAATCCAGATATATCAGATTTGTGATTAAGGTCACTCGATTAATCCATGTCAATAGGACAAAATAAGAACAAAAATTGTATTCAAGTGCCATTATAAGGCTTTTAGGCAAATCTGTTAACCAAATTTCTCCCCTAAGGACCCTATTATGCATATTAAAACTGTTAAGAATGGTATATATATATATATTTCTTATCATTGCTTACTTGGTTTAGGTAGGTGAATTGTTATACTGGTGGTAGATTGAATCAGCTCCATATGTGAAAGATGTTCACTCAATTCATTTGTAGCTATGATACTCAGAACAATAGATTTGCCCAAATTCAATCCGATAAGTGTTAAACTGAAATAAAAATAAGAGTAATGTAAGTAGGATATGAAAACATTATAATAAAAGAGGTTAAATTCTTTCTTCAAATATTGGTTTTGGAAGGAAATTTTTGTTTCATTGGTTGGCGGATTTAACCATCAGCTGACATCAGTTAGAGAACAATTGGAAAACCTGGTAGTACCCAGTGGCTTAATGGTCTGTAAACTTGCCTTGGAACCACAAGGTTTTACTGATGAAGTGACCCAAAATAGGACGAAATAGCTGTCAGTACTCCCACCTGGTTTTCCAATGATTCTATAAATGATGTCAGCTCATGATGAAATCCTCCAGCCAAAGAAATTGGCTGTAGGGATGTGATTGATTGCAGATTCGATCGGGAATTGAAATTAGTTACCTTGAAGTACTGAATATTTTTTTGTCCCAGTTTGAAAGTCTTCATCAGTACTCACCAACTGGAGGTCGAACCCAGTACCTTCCGGTGGTACCACATCCAATGGTCATTTCATGAATTCCAAATGTTCTCATACTTGACTTGGTGGACCCTGCTGTTTACGATTTCTTACTAGTGCCTAATATTTTGTCACAGCTGGAATCACTATACAGAGCTCAGCAAGACTTAAGTAATTATTCTGGCCTAAGTGTACTACAAGAATGCAGGTTGTATTTAACACCTCAAATGAATATTACTCCGCGACTTTAGTATAAATTGTTTACACTTATAATACAAAATACAAACTGTAGAAGCGTCAAAACAGTTGAAACAACAAGTGTCCTCTTCTGAAAACAGTTAGAACATGAGATAATATTTATCACCTAAATCGCAAATTAATAATAGCTTATTTTTCCTACAGAATGAATATTACTGTCTTTCTCCAGTGGAATGCCAACCTGTCATGACATAAAATTCGTCGATATCCATACAACTAGCGAGACGGTGGCAGCCAGCATAAAACTTGGACTTTCAAAAGTCTCCATCATTATATTGCATATAATATCTCTTGTTCACCCTGTTTTAATCGATTTACGTATGGCTTCTCGGGAGTATTTAAAATTTTTTTCCACATGCTGATTCGCTGGTTTCTATTAAACTTGAGAAAAAGCACAATCATGGGTGGCAGAGTTTGCTATGTTGGGAGATAACTATTCCTGAGTTATATCATTGGATCTTAAAATGTACTCTTGAACGTTTGGCGATTGAATTTCAGCATTTCTTGAAAGAGGCGCTTCAGATCAGATAGCGCTGTGTGACAGGATCTACTGTCAATTGGTATTTTATTTGAAACCTCTGTACGAAGTTAAAATATCATGCAGTAAACTTCGCTAAAAGCATGAACACTGTCCAGAATACAACTGTTATCACTATTATAGGAAATGTGTTTCCAAAGAATACTGAAGCTGTCAAAATATTTTATCTGCATAAGAAGAAGAAGCAATCTACATTCCACTGTCATTAGTGGTAGGCAGTAACAAATGACATTCTTAAAAGACATTCCGCATAACATAAGGCAAGTTTTATACTGTCTGAAATGACTTCAACAAATGTTACAAAACATTAATTACATCTCTTAAAAAAACTGACAAATTCATTTATTTTAGAGAAGTATATTCTTGTCTAGACATTCTAAGGGTATGCTTCATTGAGTATATTTCTGCTGTGAATTTTACATTCATACCACTTAGAGTCAATACATATATATATATATCTTAGGATATTATTTCGGTCAATATTATAAACTGTACAAATAATATGAAGATGACATTGTGACGTAACTCAGATACGTGGTGATATTCCGGCTGTCCCGTGTATGTTCACCTAAACTTCGGCATAAGGAATGATGTAAGCTATTTATCATTCATTACCTCTGTGTTTTGTAGCATTCTGCATATTTTAATTTAGAAGTAATTACTTAATTCAATTTAGATTTTACAGTCGATTGATTGGTCTCGTGTGGACATGTCAGCTCCTTTTGCGGATTTTTCTACGAGGGCTGGTCAATTAATTTGAAGCCATTTGGTTGGTGGTGACTAGCAGTGAAATCCAGGATGCGCATTTTGGCCTTTTTGGAACTCGCAATCTGGAAGAACCTATACTCCCTAGTGACTTAGTTGGAACATCCAGATGACGAGTGCCAAATAAGACGAAATGCACATCCTGGATTCCACTGCTGGTTACCTTCAACCAATTAGCTGGAAGTAATTACGCTACTCATTTAACCGTAGGAGGGTTATCCCAATGATTTATGTTAAATTGCAGTTGTTGGATTTTGGTCACGAATCAATACCAGTTAGAGAGATCACTGAAAAGCAGGGAGCACTGGATGGCTGTTTCGTCCCATTCCGGGGCTCTTCATTAGTGCGCTCCTCTACAACGCCACCAGGGATAGAACCTGCGACATTCTGGTTGAGAGACAAGCTCGTTTATCATTCGGCCACTTCAGCTGGAACTCAGTTGCCCCTGAATTCTAACTTTCTCAACTTGTGATATACTGCTGTCCTCATCAATGCCTTCAATGAGCATCTAATTCATCTTGACACAATGGATGCTACTGGTCAAGACTATCTACTACAGCATCAAAAATTCCATCCAGTAGCCATCAGTGAGCTAAGGACTGATATTTAGGTTACCCGACAGGTAGGAATTTAGGATTTTTTACAAATGTTAGATTTTTATCACGAGCCAACAGCACTTATGTTTAGGCTACTTTAAAGCATTTTAGTGATTCGTCTCAAGCAGACAGAGTTATTTGGATTATTCTTTCACGAACATCTACTAAGGTTATGCAACAAATGAATACTGAAATTTGTATTTTCATTTCCAGTAATCTGTGTAACTGTTTTAGTGTTACGAAACTCAAATTGTGATTCCTCATCAGTATCATAGGAAATATTAAGAAGACGGCTGCAAAGAAGAAACTTTTTTCCTTTTCGTCTAAGTCATCAGCTAGGCTGTACCTTCGTGTTGTTATCGTAAATGGGTGAAGAGCTGCCAGAAATATCTCCGGAGAAGGGTCAAGTGAATAAGATTGTAAATACGGATTAAAATACTTAAAAATAAGTCTGAATAACACAAGTGGTAAGATAATCAGTATTGAAAGAAACAACTGTTTATGATGGTTATGGGTTTGAACTCTTTCATCACTAGGGCCTCAGCTATTCCCGGATGCCTTGATCTCACTACCTTTGAGATGTTTGATCGGATCTTGTATGTGAATTCGAAGGACTTTTCAAATGGAACTGAATGTCGCAAGTGCAGCAGATGTCCTGCTACTGAGCTATGTTCTCGGCTCCAAAAGAACAAGTGAAGTGGTATATGCATGTCAAAAATGGCCCAATATAATTCAGCTTGTCTTCAACATGCTGACTCAATAGTTTCTTGCAAGAATATGTCACTTAATGGCTGGTGGGAAATTTCTGCCTCAGCATAACCTTTAAATCTGGGCTTAAGCATAAGCATCGTTTCAGGAGCGACTTGGATCTGTTCAGAAGCTTATTTTGGCTTCAAATTTCTGTCTATAAATCGAGGTGGCAAACCACTTCCCGTCAACAATTAGCAATTCTTCCTCACTGGGTTCCTAAGTACATATTTTCCATATCCTCAAAGAAAGAGAATATTTGTGATTTCTATTTCTGCTAAGAGAAATATAACTTTGAAAACCGACAAGCTGTTTATTTCAAGTGGACCTTTGGCATAAGAATCTCATCAGTGAGTTATCAGCATTTCTTCAGAGTTGAACATCGAGGATGTGGAACACTGCGTCAGATTCAGTTTCCAAAGTCAAGTCTATGCTTTGCTGGACATTGCTGAAGGTTTAGAGTAGGTTTCCAAGATCTAAATTCCCAACCCAAATGATGGAATTATTATTAGTGTATCCCTTCAAGAGATGCCGCTAGCTGATAGCCGGTAGTAAGGAGTTGTTTCCTAGACTTGCCATAAAACAGTAAGTCAAGAAGGGTCCTAGAGGAGAAACCATTACTACACCATCTATTTGTCTGTAGATTTCTTTAATGAATCTAAAGTAGACGATGAAAGTGTATCGGAGTAACAGCTGCCATTGGGTCTACAGTGTGACCTGTCTACTTTATTCATATATCCGCTAAAGACTGTCAAGCTGAATCTTCAAAAATCGAAGGTAAAGAAATCTATTTTAAAGTATTATTTACATATGAGCAAATTCATTAGTAAGCCATACACAAGGTGTCGGCAATGCAGTTTTTTCGATATAATGAATTCAATATCACCATTTAATATGAAAATTTGGCCAGTTAAAACAGTATGAACATCCTGTGCAAAAAATCATCGTTTAAATACTGAGAATGTTTTGAAAAACTGCAGAGTAATTAACCTTGCGCTCATTTTCTATTATAATATTAAAACTGTCATTTAGTGAATGTTTAATTTCGACTCAGCACTGTAGCGATTGCTCTCTTTATAACAACAGATTGTTATTCAGAAAACATTTATCTATTAAAATGACAATTCTTGGACGGAGACAAATAAAGAGATGAAATGTATTGAATATAATATTTTTCAGGCTTAGTAGTTTTCCCTGACAGATGGACAGATATTAAGGCTAACCCTACATCACTCTAATTCTCTATATTAAGCATTTTTTGTTCACATTTTCCCAGAAAGTTATGCCAATAAAAGTGTTATGAATGGGATTTTATAAGGGGTAGTACTCTCTATCATAATAGGTGACGTCTAACAAAAACAGTTGAAAAATAAGCACAGTTAGAATATTAAGATAAACGCTAAATGGTCACTTAACTAATTCGAAAATTTTCAAGGGGCTTCATATGCTTTAAGTTTGGTCACGAATTGACATAGGTTGGAGAACTATTGGAAATCAACAACACCTGTTTCGTCCTAGTGTGAGGCCCTTCAACAGTACGCATCCACCAGGGTCCGAGTCCAGAACCTTCTGGTCACAAGTGAAGCTCATAGAGCATTTAGTCACTGGCACTCGATTCACTGGCCCATGAATTCTGTTATTATTATTATTCCATTGGAT